CCTAACCCTAACCCTAACCCTAACCCTAACCCTAACCCTAACCCTAACCCTAACCCTAACCCTAACCCTAACCCTAACCCTAACCCTAACCCTAACCCTAACCCTAACCCTAACCCTAACCCTAACCCTACAGCGCTTAGGGGGGGCCAACGCCTATCGCTGTCGCATTCCTTTCCTCTTCACTCCCTTACTGCAATGCTCTTCTCACATGTATAATGGGCAGCGGTTATGGGCCGCTAGACCCGTCCTCATCATCACCAATGTCCTTTTTGATCCTTGTGGCGGTCATTGAAGCTCACACTGCGCTTTCATCATGCCTCGATGTATACATGGCACTTGCTGCAAAGGCAAAGCTTATGACCTTAGATGATGACGAATAAGAACTCAACGCAAGCATCTTCCTTGATCACAATTCACATTCATTGTACGGCTTTGGCGGTTGACCATGACCAACCCAGAGTATACTGAGTGCACCGAGTCGACATGCACGACATCCTGTTTCTTTGTTCGTATCCGCTATTGACCCGGGTAAATCCAGCTCACCTTAAACAGGAGGAGTCTTCTTCCCCGCAGGCTGTGAGTTGTGACATGAGCATCTCTTCATGTTTCTTGGCATGAATAGAGAACGCAGTCCAGTCAATCATGTAGTACTCAGTAGTTACCGTGGTGTTATCGGTCCAGATAGTTTTGGACTGCGGGTCGGATATCTTATACTTGTCGTCATCGCACTTCAACCGCCCGCTGATCAGATTTTAAAAGACGGGGATCATGTACTAACATTTGTCATGGAAAATTGGCTGTTGTCATTGGTCAAGTGGATTGCTGTTCCCCCAGTTGACTTGAACCAAATGACTCATCACTCAACCAGTTGTCTCAACTTCATTCCGGGTGTTCATGGTTGCGTGGCCGTTATCACTTGGAAGCGGCCTATGAACTTGACTTTTCGTCTTGGCATTTGAGTCTTGCCTTGCCGTTTTGACTTTCCTTGACGTTGTTCTAAGTCAACTCAAGTCAACCACTTAAAACCGTTGCATCCAGTTCACCTCCGGTCTTTACATTCGATTGCCGTTTTCACTTTTACTGACCTTGTTCTCAGTCAAGTCCGGTCAACTGTGTAGGAGCGACCCGTGAACTTGGCCTTCTGTTTTGACACTGGACTACTCACCGTTTTCACATCTCCTAACGTTGTTCTAGGTTAAGTCAGGTCAACTATTTTGGGGCAGCCCATGAAGTTCACGTCCGGTTTACGCACATGACTTGCCGTTGTCAAAGCATGTCACCTTGACTGAGACCGGTGACCGAACGCGGCCGTCGTTTTTCTCAGTTGACCTTGTCACCCTGACTGACTAAACTGGACCGTCGGCTTCGATTAGATATGTACTAAGCATTTTCCTACTGCGAAGAGAAATTACGTTTTTTTCGAGCTAGTGCCTGAAACTAACATATCGCCCTTGACGCCACAATTTTTCCGAACAGAATGATGTGTTTGACAACTATACAACGTACCATGTAAGAATCTGGCATTCAAGCGTCAATATCTTCGCTCACAATGGAGCTAATACCTTAAAGTCTTGCTGGGCCTACCCTTTTTGGGTTCTCAAGGTCCAGTTCGATTTTCGTCGATTTCCGTCACCCTACTTTTTTGCTGGTGATACCATGGTACCTCTTGATACCATGGCCCCTTCCCAGACCCGGCGATCCCTACCGCTTATGGTCTAGTCTTGCCCAAAACAGAGGTATTATGCCATAATACCTCCATGTACTAGTAATAGGTTTTATGCCATAAACCCTCCATGTACTAGTAACAGGATCCGAAACTCGAAGTACTTCTTCGGTTCATGACAACCCTCACCACAGTGCAAACAACTCCAACCATCATGAACACGAAGATGTGCAATGACATCAACTGGCTGCTCTTCACCATGAGGATGCTGCACCTCATCCAACGACTTGATATCCCATTCTGCAAAACGGTCAAACGGTCTTGAATGTTCTTGAGGGCAGCACCCTTCAAGTCATGTGGAGCGGGGCCAAAATGATTTGTTATTGAATTCTTGTTGTTGTAGCTAACGCCAGACTGACAACGTTCACAGATAACAACTCCCAAATCCTGTTCAAAATACAAGGGCTCCATTTGGTACGACGACGGCAGAGGCAGAGATGTAGAAGTACGACACGCCAAGGGTCAGAACTACGATAGGCCAAGGGACAGGACGACGATAGGCCAAGGAGCGGGGCAACCAGAGAGTACGACGACGAAGGAGTGCGACGATGAGAGTAGAATGACGAGGGTACGGCCCGACGATGGCTTCCGCATCAATTGACGAATTGTCTTTCCTACTTTCTTCGTCAAGCACGCACATCACGGGATTTATTCCACTTGGCAGACTTCTTAGGGCAGTTATTCGGTGAATGTATCTCTTTCATCATATCAAATAGAAACAATGTTTGCCCATTTTATCGGCACCAGTCTCGACGTCACCCGCAATCTGCATGCGCGGCGCCCCCCCGGCACGTTCGGCGTAACAACTTTGCCAGAGACCGCCGTTATTCCTGCCTCTACCTCCCAAACGCTCCTCAAAGCCGAAGGCGAAACACACCACCGTTGGCCATGACGTCCAGCCTCGACGAGCTCCCCGTCCACCTCATCTTCCTCATCCACGGGTTATGGGGTAACTCCTCCCACATGTCCTACCTCGACTCCCGCCTCCTCGCCCTCAACGACACCGTCTCACTCGACCACCGAATCCAAACCCATATCTGCCGAGAAAACGAAGGAAACAGGACATATGACGGGATCGACGTATGCGGCGATCGCGTCGCGGAGGAAATCCGTCAAGTCCTGTCCGAAACGCAAAAGGCGGCAAGAGTTGCGAGGATGAGCGTAGTCGGATACTCACTCGGCGGACTCATCGCTCGCTACGCACTCGGCACCCTCGAACGCGAACACTTCTGGTCAACCTCTGGACAAAACGTCGCACCAGTCAACTTCACAACCTTCGCCACCCCCCACCTCGGCGTCCGCACCCCAAGCCCGTCCCTCCTCTCCTCCCTCTACAACTCCCTCGGATCGCGCCTCGTTTCCATGTCCGGCGCACAACTATTCTTAGCGGACGATTACCACGGTGATGGGAGGTGCTTACTCGAAGTCATGTCCGATCCGGGTCGAGAGTGGGTCGCTGCGTTACGGAGGTTTAGGCGGAGAGACGTGTTTGCGAATATCGTCAATGACCGCACGGTACCATACTACACCGCCTCCATCACAGACGTGCAACCCGAAACTCCGCAACTGCACCCTGGTCCCGTCATCTTCGTCAATGACGTCAATGACACCAACCCTTCAAACCACACCTCCGAACCCCCCGAGGAATCCTGGAACGAAACCATCAAAGAAAAATCCATGCTCCTCCTTTTCTACTCCCTCTTCCCCCTCTGGATCCTCGCGTTCCTCGGGCACAGCGTATGGCAATCTCATCACTCCTCCCGTCGGATCCGTGAGTACCGGCGGGGACGTCCACTCGTACAGCGCGTGAAGGATGAGGTTCGGGATGAGGCGGATTCGTTGTTGGGCGTGAAATATGCGATTGAGGATGATGGTGGGGGGAGTGGGTTGACGAGTGATGCAGCGTCATGTATCTCCTCCTCACCATCCCCATCCCCCCCCCCAGTCGCCATTGACGCCGAAGACACCATCGCGAACACACACCCCAACCTCCCAACCGGTACAAACCTAAATCTCCACCCAGCCCAACGCTCAATCCTCCAAAACCTAAACACCCTCCCCTGGGAAAAAATCGCCGTACACGTCCAGTTATCGAGACACTCGCATGCGGCGATTATATACCGGCATCAAGGGAGGAGGCGGCTGCGGGAGGGGAAGAAGGTTGTTGATTGGTGGTTGAGGGGTGTGGGTACCGATGGCGAGGATGGGGAAGTGGGAGGAGGTGGGTTTAAGATCTGATATACGATGACACGCGTTAAGCTTTTACGGAGGTGGACGGTGCTTAGAGAAAGGGCCATTGCCACATACATACTACCTGCTATCGCTATCGAAATATCATAATCCATAACATCCTTCGGTGACGACGTTACCCCACCCCACCCCCCGCGCTGCATCGCCGTACTGAACGCGCTCACCCGACCACCCCGCACCTGACCCGCACCGACCGGACCGGGCGGACCAGACTGCTATTAAAGGCCTTCACCACCACCGGCTTCACTCGCACAGGTAACATCTTCCAAGTGATCTCACAACGGGAATTGGAAAGTTGACAATGCTCCGCTCGATCAGATCCACATCTGCTCGTCCCATCATCAGATCCGCCACTACCACCACCGCCCTCCGCCGTTCCATCGCACGCGTCTCCCTTTCCACTCCCCACACCACCACCATCGCCCATCGTACCTTCATGACCACCTCGGTCCAACTCTCCGCCGCCGGCCACGGCGGCGAACTCAACGTCCGTCCCCCTCCCGACACAGTGTTGACCTCCATCGCAGCCTACACCCACAACCCCAAATTCGACAACCCAGACCTCGCGTACGATACCGCACACTACTGCCTCCTCGACACTCTCGGCTGCGCATTCGAAGCCCTCAAACACGACGGCTGTACACGTCTTCTCGGGCCAGTGGTTCCCGGTACATCTGTACCCAACGGTGCCCGCGTCCCGGGTACGAATTATGAGTTGGATCCCATCCGCGCCGCGTGGAATTTCGGTTGTTTGTTGCGTTGGCTCGATTTCAATGATTGTTGGCTCGCTGCAGAGTGGGGTCATCCGTCTGATAATTTGGGCGGTATCCTCATGGTCGCAGACTGGATCTCCCGCACCAACAAAGCGGAGGGGAAGGAGGCGTTGAAGGTTAAGGATGTGCTTACGGCGATGATTCAAGCCCACGAAATCCAAGGTTGCATGGCTCTCGAGAACTCCTTCAACGAGGTTGGATTGGATCACGTCGTACTCGTTAAGCTCGCGTCCGCGGCTGTTGTTTCCCGACTCCTCGGACTCACGGAAGCCCAAACGGCTGATGTCGTATCCCAAGTTTTCGTCGACGGACAATCCCTCCGCACGTACCGCCACGCACCAAACACCGGCCCCCGTAAATCCTGGGCAGCAGGCGACGCGACAGCCCGCGCAGTCGAACTCGCACTCCTCGTCAAGAAGGGCGAGATCGGGTACCCCTCCGTCCTCACCGCCCCCAAATGGGGATTCTACGATAATTTGTGGAGGAAGGGCGAAAAGCACCATGGCGGTCAACGCGAATTCGCTTTCCAGAGAGAGTTTGGGTCGTACGTCATGGAAAACGTCCTCTTCAAAATCTCCTTCCCCGCCGAATTCCACGCCCAAACGGCCGCTGAAGCCTCCATGACCCTCCATGCCCTCTTCCAACGCGAAGGCCTAAAGGTCGAGGATATCGAAGAAATCAGCGTGCGGACTCAGGAGGCCGCTGTCCGAATCATCGACAAACAGGGACCGTTGCACAACTATGCCGACCGGGACCATTGTATCCAGTACATGATCGCGGCACCCCTCCTCACGGGTGAGTTGACGGCTGAATCGTACACGGACGCCGTAGCCTCCGACCCCCGCCTCGATGAACTCCGCGCCAAGATCCATTGTGTGAAAGATGATGCGTTCACAGCCGACTACCACGACCCATCCAAGCGCTCCATCGGGAACGCGCTCACTGTCCGCATGAAAGATGGTCGCGTGTTGGATGAGGTTTGTGTTGAGTATCCCGTCGGCCACAGGCGCCGTAGGGAAGAGGGCATCCCGTTGTTGATGGCGAAGTGGAAGAGGCATTTGGGTGTCCTCAAGGAGAAGGGAGGGTTGGAGGGGAAGAGTGTCGAGAGTGTTTATGAGAAGGTTAAGGATAGGAAGGCGGTGGAGAATATGGATGTTGATGAGTTTGTTGAGTTGTTTGTTACTGCGTAAGGAGATGGGGAGAGAGCAGTGTATGATATACGTGTGATTTTGTGGTTGGTTGGGGGAAAATGTGTAGTTCTGGCATGCATGTATAGATAAGAGAAAGCTTCTTGCTGAACGTACTTGAGCCTATGGTGAACCTGTGAAGGTTCCAGACCTCCTGAGATAGAAAGGCCTGAAACAATCTCGGGCGGTATACTCATGATATCGGGCATCTTGTTCTAGTTGGTCCTATCTTGACAAGTCGACGCAAAACCGTACGGTGGTGAAGATGCCACATGCACTCACAGTACGGGTTCGCTCCGGGCCCTTTCTTTTGAAAGGACGGCAGATCCGAGGTTCTGAGCCGCATGCTTGCTCTCGGTACCGAGTATGATCCTGGCTTATGCGCTTCTGAAGTCGATTGGGAAGCAACGCTGCACAAAGGCATACCTGGTATTTTATACACACTACCATAGCCATTTTCATATCTTACACACCGGGCATGACAACCCTCCATCCAATACTATATACCACAGCCTCAAAATCGATCTCATCCCCCTCCCCCTTCCTCTTCTTTCCCTTCGTCTCCTTCACATCCTTCCCATTCCCATCCTTCTCCCCTCCCAAAACGGCATCCTCCCACGCGCTAAGTCAGGCCTGCCCAGCTCCAGCTCCAGCACCCTTAACCCCTTCCTCCAACACCCTCAAACTAACACTCTTCGGCCTCTCAATCGGCAACCCCAACCCCCGACTCCAAACCCCTTGACTCAAACACCCAAGCGCCCTCGAAACCCCAAAAACGACGGTATACATCGGCGCCTCCTCCAACCCGAAATGCTGCATACACGCTCCGGACTGGGAATCCACATTGGGAAACGGGTTGGCTGTTTTGCCGTGTTTCTGGAGCACGGGGGTCGCGATTGCTTGGAGGCGCTGCACGAGACGGAAGAGAGGGTCGGAGGAGAGGGTAGGGGAGGATGAACCGAATTTTGCGAGGGCGGTGAAGCGGGGGTCGGTTTTGCGGAGGACGCCGTGGCCGTAGCCTGGGATGACGCGGCCACTGTTCAACACGTCCCATAAATACCCCTCGATGTCTGTATCGGAGGCATCGGCGCCGAGGGCGTCGTGCATCGTCTTCACGAAGGTCAAGACCTCCTGTGCCGCAAGCCCGTGCAACGGCCCCGCAAGTCCATTGAGGGCAGCAGAATAGGAAAGGAAGGGATCCGCCAACGCAGACCCAACCAGATGCGAGGTATGCGCCGACACGTTCCCACCCTCATGATCCCCATGCAACGCCAAATACAACCTCAAACAATCCGCCCACCCCTTCCTTTCCTCACCCCCACTCAACGCCAACGCGAGCGGCTGCGTCCAATCCCCTCCCTCCTGCGCGAGTTCCGCACACTTCCTCGCGCCGAGTCCCTTTCCGTAGGCGTTCTTATACACACCCGCCGCGATCGCGGGAAGTTTGGCGAGGAGGGTGATGGAGTCTTCGTACGCATACTTCCACAACTCCTTTTTGTTCACGCCTTTCTCGTAGGCTTGCGCGAATTTGGAGTCGTGATTGAGAGAGGCGACGGCGATGGATAACTGCGTCATCGGATGCAACGAGCTCGGTAATCCACCCTCGAGGAGTTTGAGCGTGTATTCCGGCAACGCAGCTTGCGCCGCAAGGTCCTTCGCTAACCCCTCGACTTGTTCCGTCGTCGGGATCTCCCCCGTCATGATCAACCATAACATCGCCTCGGGTAACATCACACCCTCACTCCCATCCACATTCCTCGCCTTCGGTAATTTCTCCGCGCATTCTTCCAGATTCAATCCATGGAATCTAATCCCCTCGTTCGCGTCCAACTCTGATCCTTCCCAGAGCATCGCCTTCATACCCCTCATACCACCAACAACCTGTGCAATTGTCGTGGTTTGGACGGGGTGGGATCCATACTCTTTCTTCAAGGTCTGTAACCTCGCGGCTTTTTGGGGGATCAACTCTTCGAGTCGAGCACGGAGCGCCTGGGATGAATGGCGGACCTGGTGTCCAACGGCCGCGGCGGCGCGAAGGTTGATATAGCGAATCGAAGTGCGTAATGTCGACATTTTGTAGAAGCGTAAGAGAGATCAGATACGTGTGATCAGCTGTCCACCGTCAGACGGGTAATCGATGTCTTATACTACCTAGCCCTCGGAGGTGTGATTGACAGGACCTCTCCACCTCTCCCTAGACGGCAATTCATTTGCGGTACTCCGGTCGCGGGTACAGAGATCCATCTCGTGACTTGCACTCGGGCCGAGACGAGGTCAAGCGGTGCGGATTGTGCGGGGAGGGGAGACGAGGAGGAGGAGGAGGAGGGAGGGCCGATGGGGGGGGGCTCGAGTGCGGGGCAACCGCGCATCAGTGAGCGGCGGGGAATTGATACCGGGAGGTAGGCGCGCTCACATGAGAAAAGCCGGGAGAACGGACGAAGTAGGCGATGGATCGTTGGTCGTTATTGTCTTTTACGATGACGGTCTACAGATGAGAGGAAACGATTACAGTACAGGATTGTGCTTGTCCTTGTGTGACTGATTGCGGCTCATAAGCTTGATGAAGATTATTTCCAATATGATATGTAATTAAGTTCACGTAACAGTAACCCAAGAATCACGAAACCAAACGCATAACGAAGCTCTACCTATACCCTTGATATTCCCCACGCTCCTCAACTCATGCTACACCGTCCACTCTAGATACCAGCCGGCGCACCACTGATCTGCCTGATAACCTTCCTCGCCCCCTCACCAGTAACCTTCACAACACCCTCCGCCTCAAGCGTCCTCATCAACTCCCCAAACTCCCCAGCATCAACATGCGCAGAACTCTGCTCCCCCAACTTCTTCAACACCTCAGAATACCTCGCCGCCTGCCCCGCCCCAGTCATATCCTTCACGATGTTCAACACCTCATTCTTCATATCTCCCCTCGCACGACGATTCGCCGCGGACTGACCCGTCGTGATGAGATCCATATCGATACGACCCGTGATGGGATCCGTAGCATAATCCTTGATCGCAGAACGAATGAGACGATTCGCCTCGCGTACGTCGTCCTCCGTGACCTCATGCGCCAACCTCATCTTCGCATGCGCCTCCGAAAGACGAATCATACTCTCCAACTGACGCGTCGTAGCCGTGATCCTCCTCTCCGCAGCTCTGACATCCTCGCCCAACTTTCTCAACTCGACATACGCCTTGACCAATTCATGTCCAGCCGCCTCGGAGATGACAGGTTGTACGTTTTCCCTGGCGTAAGAGATGTATGAGGCTAACTTGTCAACCGACAAGATATCCCCAACCGCCGCATTCTCCGGACGATCCTCGAGATACATCGACACCAAATGCCTCGCCAACCTCCGATCCGCCGCCTCGTCAATCTTATCCAACACCAAATACACCAAATCGAACCTCGACAACAAAGTCGGCGGTAAATCAATATTCGCCGGAACCGGCAAATCAGGGTTATACTTCGACCCAATCGGGTTCGCAGAAGCCAAGATACTCGTCCTCGCATTCAAGGTGGTAATAATACCAGCCTTCGCAATCGAGACTGTCTGCTGCTCCATAACTTCATGCAACACACTCCTCGTCGAATCACTCATCTTGTCAAACTCATCAATACAACAAACACCACCATCCGACAACACAAGCGCACCCGACTCCAACACCAATTGCTTCGTATCCTGATCCCTCGTGACATACGCCGTCAAACCAACCGCACTGGATCCCTTACCAGAGGTATAAACACCCCTCGGCGCAATCTTGTGCACATACTGCAGGATCTGGGATTTCGAAGTCGACGGATCACCACACAACAAAACGTTGATATCACCCCGATACCTCGGTCCACCACCCTTCGTGAACGTCTTATTCGTCCCCCCAAACAACTGCAACAAAATCCCCTTCTTCACATCCTCCATCTCATAAATACTCGGCGCCAAACTCCTCGCCAGGACGTCATAGACATCCTCTCTCCGGGAGATCGACTCAATCTCCGCAACCTCCTCCTCACTCAACTTCCGGGTCTCTTGCAACGACGCACTCGTCTCAATAGCCAATTCCTGGTCAAGCGTCGTAACGTCCGCGCCCAAGCGCCTCTTGTCGATTTTCTGGACATGCACGACATCCAAATACGTCTTGAACAAACTCTTGATCGTGCGTTGACGCGGGTTGATCCGCACGGGCACACTCCTAAAGATACCCGTAATCTGTACCCGATCACCAGCCCTACAAAAGTCCACGAGTTCATCGTAGACACAGAGGGAGACGGCATGAGGCGTCTGGCCGGCCGGCACCGCATCCGGTGTCTCCTGGAGCTTGATGACCTGCTTATCCGCAAACTCCGACCGATTATGCACGATCTGCATCGAATTCGTCGTCATGCACTGTTCACGGGGACACCTCGTCGGCTCCGCGATTCGTCCACGGTCAATCTCGACAGTCACCGCATGCTGGCAAACCGCACACCTGAAGAACGCTCTCTTCATATCCGGAATAACGGGCGTGGCACGGATGACCAATCCCTTAATCGTCACAAGACGATCGATATCCGCGGGGTTCAGGTCTCGCATATTATGCGTCTCATCGAACCCAAACGGACGAACCATATACGGCGTCGCCTCAACCTCATCAAGCACCGCCTCCCCGACACCATCACCCTGCAAAATATCAATCATGGCATCCTTAATCGCACCATCAATAATCGGGATCATCTCAGCCGGATACATCTGCAACTGATGATACGCCTTCTTCGTCGGGGGATACGCCCTCAAATTCCCGACATCGAGATTGAGGACATTAATCCCCAACGCACGCATCTGCCTCAACATCTCGACATAGACCTTATCTTCGCCCTCACCGGGATTGACGAGGACTTTGTCTGCGACGAGACGGTATTTGGGTTGGTAGTTTTTGAGGAAGTTCTTGACTGCGTCTGAGGCGTCTTGGATGTTGACGTTTGTACCCCAGATGACGCGGTGTGGGCCAGAGTCGGCATCGGAGGTCGGCGCACCCTGAGAGAGAATGGCGGATTGGCGGGAGGGAGTCTGGACGTCCATGAGACGACGACGCATCGGCGTCGAGTCCAAGCCTGAGGAATGGATATCACCACGCCTAGCAGCACGCGGCGTCGCAGCAGATGATCTGTATCACACACAATTAGTCAATCATCCTCACCACCTCACAAAATCATAGATCGCATACCTAATATCATCCCGAATCGTCTCAGCCGTAGACCTCAACCCCCCACTCCCCAACCCCGAACTCATCACTCCCCCCCTCCTCAACCCCCCACCCGCCGCACTCCTCGGCGGACTCGAACTCTCATACCTCAACGGACTCGAGACTTCCATTCGTCTCAACCCATTGACGGCGGAAGCACGAGGCGTCGCACTTCCATCACGGAGAGCCGCTGCGCCTTTGGGGGAGGAGGAAGCGATCGAGGAGGGGTAGAAGAGGGGAGCGCCGTCAGCGGCGGTGGGGGTTGCGTCGCGGTCGGTACGTTGGCGGGTTGGTGAGGATGGAGCTGATGAAGGCATCCTTGTAATTGTAGGGAAGGGTATATGGGATCGAGGGAGGTGTAGAGGTTCTCTTTCCGTGTTTACGACCGGCGCGGTAGCGCGTCTGCCTCGATTAAGCAGGTTAATTGAATTCACCGAAGATGGAGGAAATATACACAAGTGGTTTGCTGAATAACCTTGATCAAATTTATAGAAAGATATCCTCGGTTTGCGAGGCCGACAACAAACCCCGGACGTGCGGACGTCGGCTCCATCGGCGCTCGACTGCGGGGGAGGAGGCCTGCGGGGATCACGAGATATGAACGGCTCGCCTCCTCGACCTCTCGAGAGAATGACTGACTCGACAAGTCCTTACGCGATCACCATCAACGCTCGGTGATCCTCACGATGCTCCGCCGACCTTTGAGTCGCGTACTCGCCAGCAGCCGTCCTACCACCGCTGTCAGGATGTCCTCCTCCTCCACGCCCCCCTCATTCGTCCCCAAACCCCTCGAGGCAGGCCAAGACCCCCCATCCTACATCTCCTCCGCGACAAAAGACTTGACCTCCTTCTTCACCTCCCCCCGCTTCGAGCGTCTCCAACGCCCATACTCCCCCCTCTCCGTCCTCTCAGCCCGTGGTTCAGTCCCGCAGACAGTAGCGCACACAACCCACTCCGCAACCCTCCTCTGGGAAATCCTCAACCGCAACTTCGCCGCCGGAAAAGCGACACTAACAATGGGCGCCATCGACCCCGTCCAACAATCCCAGATGATCCGCGAAGGGCTTGAAGTCGTTTATGTCAGTGGTTGGGCGACGTCGAGTACCTTCGTCAGGGACGGAGCGGAGGTTGGTCCAGATTTGGGGGATTATCCGTATACGAGTGTTCCAGCCCAAGTGGAACGCATGCGAAAAGCCCAAGCCGTCCAGGATCGGAGGGAGTGGGACGAAGTCATCGCCGCGCACGAAGAAGGCAAAGTAAAGAACGATTTCAAATCTTACATCCGTCCTATCATTGCAGACGGAGATCACGGACACGGAGGATTAGGAAGCGTGATGAAGTTGACGAAATTATTCGCCGAAGCGGGTGCCTCTGCAGTTCATTTCGAGGATCAGCTACACGGTGGTAAGAAATGCGGGCATCAAGCCGGGAAAGTACTCGTTGCTACCTCGACACATATCTCGCGTCTCATCGCTGCACGATTCCAATGGGACGTGATGTCCTGTCCCGCGATCCTCATCGCGCGTACGGATTCTGAGAGCGCTAAACTCATTGATTCCGACGTCGACCCAGCGGACCATGAGTTCATTCTCGGTGTGGTACCCCCCACGAACGATCCCGAGTTCCGACCTCTCGCTGAGACCCTCCTCAGCGCCGAACGCTCAGGTGCCTCCGGAGCCCAAATCGATAAGTTGGAGCGTGAATGGACGGAGAAATTTCCCCTCCTTACCCTCGACCGCGCCATCGCCGATGCGCTCACCGCGGCAGGATGGTCCGCGGAGAAGATCGAGCGTGAGTATACGGCCAAGACGCGGGATATGTCAAACCCCTCCAAACACTTGTACGCAACCCAGACCTTGGGCATCGACGTCAAGTGGGACTCCCTCGCCCCACGTACCCGCGAAGGATACTTCCACTTCCAGGGTGGATTATCCGCAGCCATCAAACGCGCCAACGCATTCGCAAAATACGCCGATCTCCTCTGGGTCGAGACAAAAACGCCCGACGTCCAAGTTGCTCGGCAAATTTCCACGGGCGTCCGTGGTCCCAATGGCGAGAAAAAGATGATGGTCTATAACCTCTCCCCCTCCTTCGACTGGACAAAACACGGCTTCACAACCGAATCCCTCAAATCCTTCACGACTGAACTCGGTCAATTGGGGTTCGTTCTCCAGCTCATCTCGCTCGCGGGTCTTCATCTCTCCGCCGCTTCGTCTTGCGAATTCGTCCGCTCGTATCTCACGTCGGGGATGGAAGCCTATGTTCGCCTAGTCCAGAAAAAGGAGAAAGAGTTGGGGACGGATGTGTTGACGCATCAGAGGTGGAGTGGGGCGAGGGTTGTGGATCGTGTGTTGGGTGCTGTTGCGAGTGGGAATAGTGGGGTTAGTGCGATGGGGGAGGGGAGTACTGAGGCGAGTTTTCATGAGAAGTAGCTATAGTTTTTGATTGGAGAGGGAATGGGTGTGTAGGCATAGCTATGCGGGAATTTGTATCAATTGCGTTCATCATCGCACATTCGCACGATCCTGTTTCGTGGTAGAAAGATTCGTATGTAACAACGTAATTTATGGCAGCATGCTTCTACTGCTACAAGACCATCTTTTGCCCATGTATGTCTTACGTGTTTCCGGTATACCATGCTTGAAAATACCTAACAACTACACAAAGACTGCGTGGGCTAGTGGTTTCGACCTCCGTGACTGTGGTACGCCTCAAATGGGTATCATCCAGTCAAATCCGCGGTACTAACCCTGGTCGCGCAACGTATCTATTCCCTTTTGGACGCCGGGTACGGTCCGTGGCCGAGTTGTTCAGGTCCTTGGTCGTGGCAGATGTCGATGTCGAGGGTGGGCATGTGATATCGGTCCCGGACGACCGGATCCGAGGAGTCCAGAGTACTCGAATCCTCAAAGAGGAGGAATGGTCTTGGTAAAGTTTCTTTGTACAGTTCCTTCGTCCTGGTTCTCTCTCGATCGCGCGGTGCAGCTCTTGCAGCATTCATTCCCGACGTCATGAGCGACGACGTTCAACGCTGCCCCACCAACAACCCCGCTCGATCATTCAGCTATATATCAATCACGTCAAGAAGACCCATATAAGCCTGCCAATTCATTCAGCTGTATATCAATCGAATTATCCAGCAGATCGATCAATCCGGACCACCGCGAATCCACAGCAGCGACGATGAAGTCTTTCCTTTACTCCCGTGCGCCGTCGCCGACGAGAGAGCATGCCAAGACCTCGAAGAAGGGAAACAAGCGTGATACATTCTACGTAACAGGAGGTATGCCAACCCTCTCTCCTCTTCATTCCCATCGTCCCATTTAACTAACAGGACCTCCAATCCACGCAGGTGTTTACGACTCCCTCTCCGACCCCCCCCTCCCCGACCTGCCGAAAATCCACGCCGTAATGATAAAATATCACATCACATTCACACCGTCAAAACCCCTTCCCGCACAATCCCTCACCGCGAAATTTCTCGGCATGAAGGAGATCAGCGTAGACTACGCACAAGGCGACAACATGGGCCAAATGGATCGGAGGAGCGCACAGGAAGTCGTATTGGGGATGGAGTGGAATTTGTGGGGAAAGGGGCCAGATGGCGGGTGGGTCGGTGACGATGAGGTGTTGAAGGAGGGGAAAGAGTATACGTTTGACATTGTTGCGAAGTTACCGGAGAAGACGCCGAGAAGGTACGTCAACAACCGCCATGCACTGACATTTGAGGTCGAGGCTGACGTGATGATAGTATCTCAACTCACTCCGGCTCGATATCCTACTCCCTCAAAGTCTCCATGAAACCCCACTTCATCCCGTCCCTCAATCTTCCCGTCCTCAACCCATTCTCTCTCAACCCACTCTCACCCCGCCAGGGCTTCACCTTCAACTCGCGCGAAACGATTGACATGATCGGTGCGGATCATGAGTTGGGGAAGGGCGAGAGAGTGCATGTCGAGTTCCCGGATCAGTGCTACAAGGGCCCCGGATGCGAATTCCCGTTAAGTGTGACAGTTGGTGGGGGAAAGGTACACGATATCGAAAAGGTATTCATCCATCAACTCTTGTTTCTCGTATTTGCACAGAAATGCTGATCAGGTGGATACAGGTGGAAGCCCGAATCATGCAAACCGTCCAATGGAATTACCAAGGAAAACCCTTCACCCAAGACATCTACCCAGTGACCCCCTTCACCTCCGCCCACCTCAGCACATCCTCCCCCTCCCCCTCTCCGCGTCCCTCAATCTCCCACCCCCCCTCCACGCACTCCGCCTCCCACGCCTCCGGCACCGCAACCCCGACCCAACCACACGCAACACTCTCCATCCCACTCCCGGACAGCATCCACGGCGCCTACACCGGCCCGCACCACTCGGTGAAGCATCAATTGATGTTGGTGTTCCATCGGAAGGGATGGTTGAGGAAGAGGGTTGAGTGGTATAAGGACGTTGAGATTTTTCATCGGGATGTTGGGGAGGAGTTTGAGGGGGTACCTGGGGTTATTGAGGAGCCGGTGGGCATGGATGTGGATAGGTTGAAGAGGGAGTTGGAGAGGGTCAAGATGAAGGGGAGACGGTGAGGTGTGGAAGTCAGTAAGCAGGGGATTTGGTGAACGTGGAATTCTTTGGTGAGGATATGATTGCGGTGATTCAGGATATCGGTAATGTCCCATCGTTAAGGGAATATACTCAAACCTTCTCTCCTCCAATTTCATCCCATCCGCAATATCTAGAGAACAGAACTCAACACCATCGGCCCCTCAACCTCCTTCCTCTTCTCCGCTCCCAGCGCCTTCTCAACGATCGTCAATGCAAACAACAACGCTGTTCCTGGTCCCCGACTCGACACCAAGTTACCATCCACGACGATACGGTCTTCTTTGTACTCGTAATCTGACGTCAACTCGTCTTTGACGCTGGGGTGGGATGTGAGGGATTTGGAGTAATGAAGACCAGCTGCTTTGATTGCTGTTGATGCTGTAGAAAGGCGCCAATGTCAGCTTAGAAAGGGTCAAATGAGTACCTATCGAGACAAACCTGCGCAAATCGTACCAACAATCTTTCCTTCTTTCCCGTAGAACGCACGCAGAATCTCCTTCACCTTCTCCGATCCGCAAAATGTCTTCGCACCGGGGGCTCCACCCGGCAATACCAAGATATCATACTCTTCCGCCAACGCATCCACAGGCGGTAACTCCTGAACGGTTGTATCAGGTACGATCTTGACGCCCCGAGACGCGACGGCCCAATGCTCGGTCAATTCGACACCGGCGCTGACGGCTTGGATGCCGGCGCGGACGAAGACGTCGTAGGGGGTTACGAACTCGATTTCTTCTGAGCCGTTGGCGATGAGGAGAAGTGCTTTCGTCATTTGTAGTGTGATGCTGGATCAATTGATTGGGGGTTGGATCAGTGATGTACAGGATTTGGGAGGTTCGCAGGGTTGCAGTGGGGTGCATGACGTATTTTCTCTACAGATTTGTGGGGACATGAGGGAGGAGGTAGGCGAGTGTCAATAGTCCAATGTTTCATAGTCTTCCTCCTAGTTTACGGTAGACAACGACAACCAGCAGTACGGTCCAGCCGTACGCATGCCGGAAGAACCGTCTTTCCCTCAATTCCTTCGCCTCAGTGATCATACAGGATTCCGTCCACATATCTCACAAACGCCATGATCCTTGTCTCAAGGCAACCCTTTCCCACTCCTCGTCGCCTCCGCAACCTGACTCGTCCCCGGCCGGTCCTCCGCATACCTCTCATACGAGTCGAGATACAGCTCGTCCCCGCTAACCGTAGCCATAACTGCCTCATTCCTCTCCATCGCCTCAATCCATTTCTTGTACCTCTCAGAATCTGGGCCATCGTATTGACGATATGGCTTCAACACCCTCGGAATGCGCAAGATCCAGGGTGCGGCCATGACGTCTACCCACCCAAGCTCCTTTCCCGCAAAAAAGGGACCTTGAGGGTGGGCGTTATCCACGAGTTTGCGGACGGCATCATCAAAGTCTTTCTTTGCGGCGTTGGATTTCTCAGTTTCGTGCATCTGGGTTTGCAGAAAGCGGTAGAATGAAGGGACGAGGTGCCGGTTGACATGATCCGCCCACAACCGGTTCTCGGCTCTCTTCTTCGCGTCAGTCCCCAACAACCTCTTCTCTGGGTACGCATCCTCCAGGTACTCCATCAACACGGTACTCTCGTACGAACCCCAGTCTCCATCGCGGAGCGCCGGCACCAAACCCCGAGGATTGATGTCCGTCAACGCCTTCGGCTTCTTGTACGGATCGATCTCAAGGTATTGATACTGAAGCCCATTATGCTCAAGTGCGATCCAAACGCGTTGAACGAAGGGGCAGAAACAGGAGCCGTACAGCTGGAGGGGGCTCTCCTTGCCGTGAGATTCGGCTGTTGCGAGGGCGTTACCCGTAGCTTTCGTGTGGTACGTCTTCTGGATCTTCTCGGTCTTACTGGAGGTAGGCATAGTTGGTGTTTGGTGATGCTGGAATGGTAGCAAAAGTTGCGAATAGGGTCGGAGGATCGCGGTACCTATAGCTATACGGGATAGCAAAAGGCTTTCGTTGGCTTGGTGTCTCGTAATGGTAATTGATCTGGTGATATTTCGGATAGACAGCATCCGTCGCTTTCAAAGTTCAGAGGATCAAACCAAGGCAACTGCCGTCCAGCACGCGTGGTCTCGAGTCGGTGGTGCGGTCGGGCCGTCCGGGGGAGCTGCGCAGCCTGACGTCAAGAGGAGCGGATATGGCAACCATATGGAATGGCTGATCAGTAGAACTAAACAGTTGATAAGACTATCTGAAGTAAAACTAAAGCAATTGCGGAGGTAGCAGCACAATCGGACCCGCCCGTTTCTCCGCAATCGCAGCCCAAAAAGACGTCTTTCCCACACCATAGACATAAAAGTACTCATACATAATCACCCACCTACTTTCTACACACACTTCCAGAAGCTCAATTAACGAGCTTCCAAGCTAAGCAGCAGGGTCACTGACGTCAGGAACCCCCTCGTCATCACCCAACGCCTCATACGGGTTCCCCTCCGTCCTCAAACTAGGATTTCCTTCGATAGTTCTGTCGCGCATGAGTCCAATGTAAGCCAATGCCTGTCTGACCAGGAGGTGCGTGTTGAAAGAATTTTAGGGGTGGGGAAAGGGGTGGGTCTCCCTCTCGGCTCGGGTGCGAAATCGTACGCGTGGTGGTAGATGGTCGGGGATCATGGTGTTGGGGTGGATGGGTGTGCGAGCTTGGGGGTGCGAAACCAGAGAAGGTATGGTACTCGGGATCTGACGAACGGCGTGTATACCCGAACCCCAACTGCGTCTGCATCTGCATCTGCGATTGTGGATCCGGTGGCCATGGATTCGCACCCGGTATCGTTGACGTCGTCCATGAGAGAGACCCACCCCCGGCGCCGGTGCCAGAGGAAACCCCACCGCTCCCAAACTCGAAATCATCATCTAAAGCAAGGGGATCGACGTACCCTTCACCTGAGCCGCCGCCAATTACTCCAGTCATGTCAGACTCGGATTGCTGAGCGCCCGTGGGAATCTCCGTCGCCTTTTTGGCGAATTTGTCAGTAGCGAGCCTAGTGATCAGGGTTAGTTTTCTGAAGAAAGGAGGAAGGAGAGGACTAACTGGGCGGGATCGAAGAGGGTGCCCTCGTTGGAGTGTTCGAACTTGTTGGGATCTGTGAGGATGAGATCGAGGTGTGAGTATGTGACTAGGACAAAGAAGGACAGGAAACGGACCGGTAGACATGATTTCGATTGCTTATCCTTCGCTTGCCGATAGACTATTAAAGTGGTACCGTAGCTTACGCTTGAGGAGGTGAGTGTGGGTGAAGTATTGAGCTTTATGTTCTCGTGAATATTACTGGTGATTCAATCGACACGTAATCTGCGCTGTTTGGTGAATCATGCTCGTGACGTTATTGACAGGGGCGTCAGATGCCATTGCATCACGGACCGACGTTTGCAAAAAGCTTAAAGCGTTCAACAGTGGAGGACAGCCAGTGCTTGCTTCAATTGCAGTCGCCATTACGGCAGCTTCGCCTGAAGACCTTGCTCACTTGGTATGATTTGCCTCCGCGTAGAGCGACTTGACGCGTGGGAACTTTTTGGATGTGAGCCGGCGAAGCCTGTGTGACCAAGACGTATACCTGGTCTGGGGAATGAGGAGGATACGATGCAAGCTTTGCTCAAGGTAATTACTTGTACCCGCAGGGCCAAAAACGGTTGCTTCTATGCGTGGGAATTCGGAGAAATCCATTAGAAAAATACTTCAATCTTTTTTCTTTGTTCGTTCATCACCACCACATGGTCAGTAACCACCAAACACAGGATCCCCCGTCCTATGACCCGGCCCGCATCCGATCGATCGCACGACATGAAAAAATTAGCAAAAAGTTGAAAAGAGAAGAGCAGAGAACCCATGAGAACCCCCAGTAACCCAGAAACACGAAAAAGACACACAAAGCAAGCAAAACCACGAATCAAGCAACAAGTAAACCAATCCATCACATCCTCCATTACCCCTCCTCAAACTCTCGGAGAAGAAGCCGCACCCTTCTCCTTCTTGGATCCTCCAAGACCCATATGCATCCAAGGCCATCCCAACGCACTCCTCATCCACCCCTTCTTCTTCTTACTCTTCTCATCCACGATGCCCAAGCCGTTATTGTCCTTAACCTTCACTTTCTCCCCCGCCGTAAAACTCTGACTCCGAGCCAACGGTCTAGAACCAGCATTCTCCTCATCACTGACAACAACAGGCGACGCCGGTTCCTCCTCTGTCAAAACACCAAGGCCCATCATCAACCCAAGACCAGCAGCAGACCCGAAAGGCGTATGCCCCGTCGTCGACGTCGTCGTCCCCTCATCCTCCTCCGCAACAACCGACATCTTCCTCTTTTGTCCCCGTCCAGCGCTAGCGCTAGCATTCCCTGCAGCCGACAACAACGGCGCAGACTCACTCCGCTTATGACCCCTCCGGAACGAGTTGGAGTTCGAGTTCGAGTTGTCACCATACGGAATAGAAGGAGGAGGCGCAGGCGCGTCAAGATGTCCCAGCGCAGCATCCAAATCGATGGAGAAATTCGTTGGGGGGACGATGGATAACGTCGGCGGTGGAACAGGGGAGTTGGAACCCCTAACCAACGACCTCGCCGCCTCCGCATTTGAATAAAACCCTCCCTCAACCTGGTTCTGAACAACGGGCTGAGCTGAAGCCCGGACTTCAGGCAAAGGCGACACGCTCCTCCTCGAAGCCCCCGACGACCGTCTCCTCAACAACAACAACGACGTAATCGACCTCCTCTTCTTATGCTTCGATCCCTCTCCATTCACCGACGTAGAAGAAGAAGAAGTAAACGAGGACAGTGAGGCAGAGCTAGCCAATGAACGGAGAAGCGCCATACTATCCCTCTTTTTATGACCCTTCTTCCCCTTACCGTCCGCCGTAGAAGCAGCGATGGGAGGGACAATGACGGTAGCGGGAGTAGGTGTGTTGACAGGCATCGGCAAACTCGGAAACCCAAATGGCTTAACCAAATCCATGTTCTCCAATCCATCATCACTATCCTCCATAACGCCCTCCTCATACTGATCAGCATGGTACTGATAATCAATATCGATTTCCATGGAGTCGTCGCCGTTATCGATGAGGCGACGAGGGATAATGGCGACTTCCTCGCAAAAGCTCACGCGTCTCCCAACCTTCTTACCCTCGGCAGACGCGGTGGTGGTAGCGGTAGTGAGCGAGGGCGAGGTGCCCGGACGCGAATGATACGCCTCCTCATCATCACGCAAAGACTCCGTGCTCGCCGTATGCGACGAACTCAACGCCGGACTCGCCAACGGTGGGAACGAAGGAACAGTCGTAGCAGAAGCAGGAGCAGGAGCAACGGTAGGAAGTGGAATCCCAGCCCGTGCCCAATCCGAAGAGATAGCGTGACTCCTTCTATGCTTATGTCCCCTAAACCCCTTCCCACTACCACCCTCCGGCCCAGAAGAAGCAGACGCGGGACGAAGTGTATCGAGTGACGCCCTACCAGTCGCCCTCGTAGGCGACGCCGGCATCGTCAACGGCATAGCGAGTGGCAAAGCAGTCGTGTTGTTGTTGTCAGGCGACTTTGGTGACGCGGGAAAGGTGAAGGTTAGCGAGATACCATGCGCGTGCGTTTGAGTGTGTGCGTGAGGGTTGGGATGGGAGAGTGTGCGGGCATGAGTCGGTGTTGAAGGCATTCCCTTTTGTCAGAAAGTAGTATGTGTATGCGTGGTGGAATAGAGTGTGGGGGTTGTAGTTGATGTGACTATCGATGTTCCGGCCTGCCGGTGAATCGATGTTCGTGATGTGCCCGAGTTCTGCGAAGAAGCTCGAGATGAGAGGTGATTTGGTGGGATGTATGCTATCAAACGTAAACGTAACACACGTCGTTATTGAGCCGGAAAGTCGGTAGAGAAGGGCGGAGTGTGTAGAGAGGAGTTGGTGTAAAAGAGTGACAATGGTCGGAAGTGGTGGAAGGGCGAAAAGACGCGGTGTGTTAACTCGACAGTTAAACCCCTCACAACACAGGTGTTATTTCCGTAGACCGATCGGTCTCGCTGTTGGGAATCGCGTTGATGGTTGGTGGTTAGAGAGGGTTGCGGTTTTGTCGCCTATAGCGTTTTTGGGCAGGGAGTGTCCAAGTGAGCCAAGCGCGGTTTAGATTAGAGCGTGGTGGTGTACGGGCGTGCGCTGTGTTTGGAAAAGGGGGTGCATTGGAATGTAATACAGCGACAGATTTGGAGCAACCAATCTCCCGTTGCTGCGGTTGGATGGATGATTCACCGGCTGGGCATGGGCATACGCGGTACATTACGATATCGATCTTCATGAACCGGGATGGACGGCCGACAGCGTTCAGTCTCCTCCAGAACACTCCACGACCCAGCCAGCCGCAGCTGCAGTCTCATCTCGTAAAGTCTAGGGAAAAGCCAAGGAATGTCGCACTCTATCGAACCTGGCACAGCTGCATGGCCGCGATACCCGCCGGCGCGGCCGCAGCTGGTGAAGGGACGGATGGGGCAGGGATCCGTGGTGAGCTTGAGGGCAAATTGGACATGAGCGATGGCGTGATGGAGGACCGTTTTCCCCGCGTATATGCGATAAGAAAGTAGCACGGCTGTTGCTTACGTGACGGTGCTTATCTCAGCGATCATAAGCATACTCGCGGGTCGTGTGTCTCTCGGCAGCTGCCTTGTCTTGACTTCTCGTGCCGTGCTTACCACCTTTACCTCTCCTCTCACAAACCGAGTCTGCCCTCGAGCTCAGTCACCCATGTCCCATTGTCATTGTCGCCGTAATTACAATCTCCGCCCAGCCTCGGCACTCCCATATTACCTCATATATGAGCTCAACAGCCACGCAGTCATTCAACACTCAAATCTCGATTACACGCTGCTCCCGGGAGCCTGGGAATAACCTCAACTTCGCCACCACTGCTAAGCTGTGTAAAATGATCATGAGGGAGGGGACGTATTAGATGAGCGCGCTGCGCTTTGGGCATGGGTGATATATACGAAACGAGACGGGACTCGGTATTAGTATTCAAGCGGGTGGGAGACCTGCGGAACAAGAGCTGATGGTACCGCATGCTTCTAGACACGTAATGAGCGAGCATCTGGGAGTCGAACGAAGCCCCTGGATTATGTCGCACGTATTGCCGTATAGCTGGGACATGGTACAGGGTTTAAACCACCTGATGCTCTCATCTTGCATGTGCATCAGCATCCACCAGGAGGGCTCCCAATGAACCTTTGTTGGAGAACGTTGGCTTGGCGTGACGCTTTCATTTGAAATTTCTGGGCACGTCGATTTGATGCGTCTGAATAGGCGTCGTGTCACTTCGGCTGTCGGAGGCTGTAATTGGATTGCTGAGTCTTTCGGTGTAGCATGTCGTGTTCTGTAGCTTCGATAATCATGATGACCGGGATATAATATCGATGTATGCCGAACGATTCGCACGTATAGGTTCGGGAATTCGAATGTCGACGTAACAAATCCACGGGAAGGGATGTATGCAGAGACGAGACGCAACGTATGACAGATATTATATTCAAACAAGGCTCTCAAAACCAAAAGCCTATCCCCTAGTCTCGTGCTGAGCCCTATACGACACACATTAGCGCATACTCCAAACCCCTCGTCATCATATCAAACATACTCAGCCAAATGTCCAGCCTTGGAGTTCAGGAACTCGTTGTAAGAGTTGGCCCAGGTGTAGATACCGTAGTAAGCGGCGAAAGGAACACCCCAGTAGATGATGTTCTGGCGGATACGGCGAGCGCTGTTGAAGATAGCGGCGTGGAGGGTACCAGCGAGGGGACGCTGGGCGAAAGGGGAGAGGGAGTAGGTGATGATACCACGCTGGGTAGGTCCACCCATGTTACCCCACCATCCCACTATTCACGATCAATCGTTAGCCCTCACATCCCGAATAATCCCATCGCCGTTCAACCGGTGCGCTCAAACACACACAGCACCACCCGCACACCGGCGGAAAGCGACGAAACCAAGGGCGAAATTGACGTACTGAAACGAGTTCCTTCAGGCACAGATCCACCACCCATTTTGTCAGATGTATATGTCAAGGAGTATTCAACCTTAGGTGGAGAGCTTACCTACGCGGTCGTTGCTTCGCTGCCTTGCAAACTCCGTGGCTGGTGCGTGGCGCGGTCGATTGGGTAGACGTCAGCTGCGTACGTACGGAGGAAATCGAAACCCGTTATACGTTTAAAACAGATCAAAATGGCACAGGTTTGGGGTGGGTTGATCGTCATCGCTTTGGGGAATTCTTGCTGATGCCGTCTCTACAGCTGAGCGTCTTGGCCGTTTGGCTATCCCGGCTGGTATTGCCGTCTCGGCACTTCAATACTCGATGTACGATGTCAAGGGCGGACAGAGAGCAATCATCTTCGACCGTATTGCCGGAGTTAAGCAAGTTGTCGTCGAGGAGGGAACACACTTCTTGGTCCCATGGCTCCAGCGTGCAGTCATGTACGACGTCCGTACAAAGCCCCGCAACATCTCCACCTCCACCGGATCCAAGGACTTGCAGATGGTCTCCCTGACCCTCCGTGTCCTCCACCGCCCCGAGATCTCCGCTCTCCCTAGGATTTACCAGACCCTCGGTGCCGACTACGACGAGCGTGTCCTTCCCTCCATCGGAAACGAAATTTTGAAGTCCGTCGTCGCACAATTCGACGCCGCCGAGCTTATCACTCAGCGTGAAATCGTCTCCTCCAGAATCCGCGAAGATCTCGTCCGCCGTGCCCGCGAATTCGGAATCGAGCTCGAGGATGTCTCGATCACCCACATGACCTTCGGCCGCGACTTCACCAAGGCCGTCGAGCAGAAGCAGATCGCACAGCAGGATGCCGAGCGGGCAAAGTATGTCGTCGAGAAGGCTGAGCAGGAGAGACAGGCGAGTGTTATTAGGGCTGAGGGTGAAGCTGATGCTGCGGATCTGATTTCGAAGGCGTTGGAGCAGGCTGGTGATGGTTTGATTCAGATCAGAAGGATTGAGGCGTCTAAGGATATCGCGGCGACGTTGAGCAAGGCACGGAACGTTACTTACTTGCCTACGGGAGGAAACGGAGCGACTGCTGGTGGTGGTGGTGGTCAGAGCTCCACGGGTGGAGGAAGCTTCTTGTTCAACGTTGGTGGCGCTTAAAGAGTGGGCTGGCTAGGCATCTCTTTTTGTAACATATTGAAAACTCTCTCATCTTTATGCATCGTTAGGATAATTGTACGTTATCGGGCCTTGCTCGCATTCATTGAAATTGTAGTAGGTTACTTTTATCTACCTAGTATCCGACTATGCTGAGGCCTCGACGAGCATGTCCACCGGATCATCGGCTTAAACTGTACACGGAGGTGGATCATTGATTATTCGTCGTACCCTTTCTCCTGCCGTCTTATATGAATGTCGTGACTGAATTCATATTCGCACTGCAATGACTGTTGTCGGTTTGGAGAGCGTTAGCCCGTCTCATATGGCCTAAGCCTCTTCGTCAAAATACTGCCATCGTTCTCCCTTCTGCACAACTCGGCTCCTAATCAAACGGCAACCTCCTCACACCACCCCCAACGACCCCAGCACCGGGCACAACCACCCTCCTCAACTGACCCTGCTCCTCACCCTGTCTCGCCGCAATTGCACTCGGCACCTTAATCCCACAACAATCTCCCCACCCATGCTGATTCTCCTCCCCCTTCCCATGCACATGTCCATGCTCATCCTCCGTCGCGTCTTTATCCTCACTCATCCCCTCCGCAGCCTTGATGAGCGTTCCAAACATAAAATGCTGCATAATTGGAAGCTTGGACAGGACTTCCGCATCATACATCTTCCCCATTCCCTCCGCGACCTTTTTCCAGGATTTTACACCCGAGATGTCATCCAACATTGGCGAATGCCACCTCAGCCCTGCCACTGTCTTGGTTTCGTTGATCCACTTGATACACCCCAGATAGAAATAATCGTGCGCGAACGCTTCAACTACCTCTGCGTCGTGAATGGAACGTGGCTTGAGGTGTCGGTGTGGAGCGAGTTGGTGTGCGCCGAAGAGGAACGGGAGGAAGTGATAGTCATCCAAACCCCATACACCGTGCGAACCCGCGGGCTCTAAGAGGTACAGACTCTGGATCTGACGCATGGTGGACAGGTATGTGTAGAAGACTCGAAGGACGAGGGCTGGGTAGTCTTCGAGGGTAAGTAAGGGTGTCGGGAGTTGTGTTAGTGCGAGGAGGTAGGCGAGGAAGGAGAGTTCGTGCCCGGAGCCGTAGTCGATGCGGACGGGGGAACCGAAGGAACCGAGGAGGTAGGGGTAAAACTCTACGTCACTGCCTTCTGGTAATGGCAGGTCTTTGTGTAGTTCGTCCACCTTCGCCTCAAGGTCCTCGTAGAATGAGCGGAATGCAGGATTACCGAATCGTGATAACGAATTGTCGACGGGTGGGTGTCGTGCCATGATCTCATTGATCCCCTCGAACATCTTAATCACTCCCTTGACATTCTCCGATACAGGTACATCATCCGAGATCTTCTTCCCCTCCACCGACTTCCCCAGGTCCGTCACAAACCCAAGCAGCAGCTGTTTCGTCGGGCTTTCACGGAATAACTCGAGATCATGAGACGTCAAAATACGTCTCGTCGGCTTGACGAAGCTTTCGAATGATGATTTGGTCATGTCCGTATTCATAATTCACTGGTCGATGGGTACTGTTTGGTCGGCCGCGGTGTTCGGAATAGGTAACCCCGGGTGTCCTCGTTACGTGGCGCAGGCGCGCACCGCCAACTCGTATACGGCAGGCAATGAAATATACGTCGTACGTACATCCAAACAGTGGATCTAAAGCCTCACCACATAAGGAAGCTTGTAGAACAGGAACATGTCGACTTCTCAGTTAATGCACCCATTCAGAGTTCGGGCAATACACTGGCTGAAAGGAGGGGCGAAATGCTTGTTGATCTTGTGCAAAAGCGGTGGGGAAGCGACATGATTGATGAAGAACTCCCCGCACCTCTTGCAAATGTGACAAGTTATGCGCGGACAAATGTACCAGGGGTTGCGGAAGAGGCCTCGCGCATAAACTGGAAAGAATGTCGTCCCGGGGATTTGGAGTCATATAAGAATGCCACTAAGACGCTTTGGACTACGTTCAAAGTCAATGGCGAATACAAGTGTGTTTTCTTAACCTTTCGCAACCATAATTATTTGCTCAAGGATTCCAGCTTTCCACCACGCATGAAAGAAGAGCAATCAGGCACTCTGATCGGGGGTAGACGTGAACGGAAAAGGTTTGCTGTGGTATTATGTGCTGATAAAAACCCTGCACTACCGAAAAGTGTTAAAGTGGCAGACATGCCTGAGGATCTTCACGCAGGAATTTGGTTTGATATCAGCCGCAAAGCATATGGAAAGGTTGTATTTGTGTGAGAGAGGTTTAGGAAGACATTTTATGGGAGATCAAGGATCTAATGGGAAGATTTTCACGATTAAAATATGTTCCATTCAGCGCACCTGCTGGTGGTGAACATTGAAGCGAGCAGTAGAGGAATCGGAAACGAAGGAGGGTGATGACGAATTCGTTGACGACAATGAGGACGAGGATGAGGATGATATCCTTGGGAATCTAGCGGGCCTGTTATAAAAGGGCAAATTACGGTCCAGATCCACGATTAAGCAGGCGGACACAATGGCCACCTGCAAAAGTACACAATATACGTACTCGCATGGACATACGACAACACTGCCGCGGCGTGGGAAGATGAACGTCCTGACGACCTGCTAAGTCACCCGGTGTAACATGGATCTAAGTACGGTAGTGTTGTTCGTTGGTCACGATGAGGGGATCGTCATATCTACCCTCCTTCCGAAGATGAACGGCTATGGCTCGACAAGCTTCACATTCCCTAGCTAAGCCTAGCCTGGACTTACCCGCGAGGAACACGGGGCCCAGCCGTGATCATCTTCCCCGCTCGCGATCGTCCAGTTCCGTCGACGTCAGATCATCATGAGGTTAAGCAAACTGTGACAAGGCAGGGATTCGGGAGATGAGAATATGAGCGGATGACTGTATGGCTGGCTTAGGGTCACCATAAGAAGATGTTCAACTGTAACTTTTCTGGATCACCGCGAAAGCTTTTTCTCCAACATGGGCATCTCACTATTCATGAGAGCTGTGATCTCCCTCGCGTGGATCACGTCAGCGACAGTATTTGGCCAAAGCACGACAAACAGCACCGCGGACCTCTGCGCTAGCAACATTTTCCACCTCTCCACCCCTCCCTTCGACAACTACTACACAGACAGCAATAGACCACATCTATTCAGCACGGGCCTGAGCGTCGTCAACGTTGTTGCGCAAACACCTACAGATAAAGCCTTCGCTCTCACTCCTCAACCCTGTCTTGTCGAACGACGTGATCGGTGCGGTTCTCCAGCGTGGGAATTGGGAAGGGGCATTGTGCCATGAAAAGAAAATCGGTGAGTATCAACGCTGCAAGACTGTCTCGTGGGTAGATATGATGTGTGACGTTGTCCTTATAGTTCCTTCGGGTAAATTTGACGCAGGAGGAGGCGATGTCGAGATTGGCGGGGATGTCAACGAGAGCTATTTCGCTGGACCGGATGATGCGGATCTCATTGGGAGTGATGGCGTCACGTTCTACGGACTAGCACTCGACGGGAACAATAACCAAAGTATCGTGGAGATGATGAACAGTGATGATTGTGATTGCTTTATCTGTTTTATTATTGGACCTGAAGCTGACCTGAACATTTCACAGGTTTCCGTCACTTCCTCCTCAACACCAACGACGACCAACTCATATCCTTCTTGAACCAAGCAGCCAACAACCTCAACCGCGAGTTCCCTGCTGGGACGTTGACGAATGCGGAGATGTTGGTCGCCGATCCGGCGTTTGGTGGGGATCCGGTGCATGCTGCGAATTGGACAAGGGGAGCATATGTGAGTCAATCTGCTAAGTGTATTCCTTACTGGCCATGGTGCTGATGAATCCCGCTCAGCATGGCACGGTTATCTGGTCCTGGCATACGGCTGTGATGGCTGGGGGTCTCGAGCGTCAGCTCGCTCAATGCGATAATTCGACTTCGACACCTGCTTGCGTACTGATGACACAATGTATCTCAATGTGGTCAGCGCTTATTCGAACCTCTGGGATGTCATCGAGGGGAACGCGGCGCAGTTGACGCAGGAGGTTTGGAGTTGGGGAGTATATGGATGGAGGATTTGAGGTGGTGCTGTCGAGTGACATTCCTGCTCCTGGTGGTATTCCTCAGGTATGTGACATGTGATTTTAGATGTTTGCTCACGAGACTGACTGAGTTTCAGACCGAAAGCATTCCATGCAACTTTGGAGTCTCACGTTCTTGGCAGCCCAGAGGAACCCAATTTACGCCTGAAGTTGGGACAGAGCTCGATGCCCGACATTATGAATTGGGTTAAACATTTACCTCGCAGGATATGGACGTTGCAATTGTGCCGGAACTTGAGGACGCAAGTAGCTGTATGATCATCACTCGAGCTCAGCTATTGGAAACTTGCTGTTTAGGAATTCTTTTGCTTCCACGCGATCGCGAAGTGCTGGTGGTATCTGGAAAGCCTTCAGGGATTCTGAAAGAACTAGCCGTAACGTTTACGTTGTTCAAGCATTCCAAATCTGATCCTTCTTCTCACGGCTCTATCGATTGTCTCTGCAGAACCCTTCGAACCCTCTCCTCACCCACTCCCCTCCTCAATCCCCTCCCCAACCCCCTCCACAACCTCCAACACCCCCCTCAACACCTCCCTCCCCTCCCACCCCACGCGCTCAGTCGCGATAGCGACAATGGCACTGACATCGCGTTCGAGGTTGATGAAATTGATTTCGCCGCGGATGGGGATGGTTAGGATGTGCTGTGTGAGGAGGGAGGAGAGGTGGGGGAGGGCGTGGGTTAGGAGGAGGGTGGTGAGGAGGGCTGGTAGTAAGTCTTTGGATAGCGGCGCCAGGAGGTTATTGTAGGCTTTCGAAAACTTGGTCGCGACGGTCGAGGGCGCTGTCGACGGACTCGTGTAATCCGTCCCCGCGAACGCATCCTCAACAACCCCCCTCATCCCCCTCTTAACAACCCCCTCAAACAAGCCCCTTACCCCCTCCCCACAAACCCCCTCAATTCTCCCCTCAACACCCCCTCTCAACTCCTCCAACACCTCCTTCACATCCTCTGGCGACAATGCGCGTCCAGTGAGTTCGTCGATGACTCGGGCGAGATAGATGCGTGCGGTGTAGAGGTTATTGACCCAGGCACATCTTTCCGTGACTACGCCACTCGACACTCGACGACGAGCGACACCTAGGAAATCACTTTCCAGAATCCGACGGAGGCCGGAGACGACGCCTCGGATGGCGCAGACGTCACCCGTCGCCAACGTTCGGGAGAGGAGGGATTTGGTGATGTAGAATAGGTCGTCGACCACAGATGTGATCTGCTCCAGTTTCTCCTCCATCACGAACGCTTTTTCCAAATTCCTTCTCAATAGGTGCGTTGTGAGTTCGACGTAAACCCCCAAGACCCTCTCCGCGACTTTTTTCTCCAACGCACTCTCGGCCAATACAGTGTTGATGCCATCGATCTCGACTTTCTGCTCCACATATCCCGTATAGGCATTCCATCGCGCCAAAAACGTACCCAGTTCCACACTCAATAAATCCAACTCCCTAACATCCTCCGCACCCAAGACGTCCTCAACACTTCCCCCTTCCCTATCTCGCGCGTCCAAACTCCGTCGCCCGCCCGTTCCCGGCGCCGGACTCGCCACCCTACTAACCGCCGCGCTCAAACTCCCCTTCAGCGCATTCTGCGCAACCCCCCTCATCTTCTTTTCTCCCCCCGTAAATGCCTCGGTGAGCTTCTCCCACCCCCACCCCCGCGTCCGCCCGATCGCGCGTTCGACCCCTCTCTCCTCCCAATGCGAGTTCAGGATCAACGCACCACGCCTATCCCCCTCATTCTGTAACTTTCGTGCTATCTCCAATGCGGAGTGGATGTCGAAGGTGGATGCGATGATGGGCGTATGGGTTGTGAGGAGTTTGGCGAGGATGGAGAGGAGGGTACCGAATGTTGTGGGGTAGGTCGATGGGTCGGGGGTGGAGATGGTGATGGACTTAAGTTTTTGTACGGTTAGGTCGACGACGAATTTTTGGTAGACAGAGACGCCGATATTGGGTTTTCCGATTCTGGAGAATGTGCGGATCCATGTCTCAGCAGCACCAGAATCTCCACTCTTTACCGCAGCCCAAAACTCACTCTCAACAACCCCAACCAACTTCTCCCCCGCATTGGCAATTGTCTCATGAGGCAGTAACGGCGCAGCCTCACTCGGCACAACCGCCGCCGCGAACGGCGACTCCAACACACTCCCCGGATGTGCCAACGCATGCTCCAACGCATCAATCACCCTCGTGTAGTCCGGCACCGGGGCCTCCAGTGCCGTCGTAATGTCCCGAATTGAGTCTTTAAGGTCTTGGGTTGCTATCACGACTTCCCGAGTCTCCCGTACCCTCTGGCCTTCGAGATCAAGGTTGCGGACGCGAGCGCCAACACTCTCCGCGCCCCTCCCCGCCTTGCCCACGACCTCACCCAACCTCCCCACAACTTCCCCAGCATCAATCAACCGTGCGCGATGCGTGGTGAGTGCTCGAAGTTCAGTGTCGAGGGCGGCACGGTTTGCGAGGTGGAGTTTGAGGGAGGCGGTCAATGAGGCATCGAGGGTGGAGAGGGCGTCGAGGGCTGAGTGGAGTTGGGGGAGGGATGTGGCGGTGTGGATTGAGGGTGGATCGATTGGGGCCATTGATGGAGGACCCCTTCGGTGAGGTGAGGTGAGTTGTCTGGGCAATGACCTTTCGAGACTACGTTACAGGGTACGGTGAGGTCGTGATGCAGGGCACCTGGGGTGCAGCTGAACGGCCGACACGTACAAACCCAAGAAGTTCAAAAAGATGGACGATTCATGGGACGTCTCAAAAGCAGTCCGCACATTCGATGCCTTCCCCAAAGCGTCCCATCACTACGTAACCCACTCCTCCCGAGGAGGAATCATGACGATCATCTGGACCCTCCTCACACTCTACCTAGCTTTTCACGAGCTCTCATCATGGTACGTGTGCCAGCTTTCTCGCGGATCTTCAAAGTTGACTGTAGAGCAGGTTCGACGGCCAGGAAGAACATCAATTCAGCGTCGCGAGGGAAATCGGAGACATGATGCAGATTAACATCGACATGACTGTCGCGATGCCGTGTGATGTGATTCAGGTTAATGTGCAAAGTGCGACCGGTGATCGCGTTCTCGCACAAAACGCTTTAACCCTCGAAGGGGTACCTCGCCCTCCACACTCCTCCCATCACTCAGCTAACCATATGTTTGTTTAGACAACCTTCGACACCTCCTCCGCCCACCTTCTCACTACAACAACCCCCCACTCCCCCCCCTCCCTCCCCTCAATCCTCCGTGCGTCAAAAAAACACACCTTCCCCTCCCGCAAACCCATCAAAAACGCAGACGCCTGCAGAATCTACGGCTCCCTCGACGTCGACAAAGTCCAAGGGGACCTCCACATAACCGCCGTCGGCCATGGATACCAAACCCAAGGCCCCCACCAACCCCAGCACCTCGCACACGATAAAATGAATTTCTCGCATGTGATTGATGAGTTGAGTTTTGGTGCTTTTTACCCGAGGCTCGAGAATCCGCTCGATATGACCGCGAGTGTCACCGAAGAACGTACGTGTGTGCACGCACCCTCCCCCTATAGGTACGATGGAGGGCTAACATTGTGTGTAGATTGGCAAACCTTCAAATACTTCCTCTCAATCGTCCCAACAACATACATCTCATCCCTCCCCCCCTCCCACGCCATCACGACGAACCAATACGCCGTAACCTCCCAATCCCGTCCCTCCCCCTCCTCCCACTCCTCGGGCAAACCACCCGGTATCTTCTTCCAATACGATATCGAACCACTCGAGCTCACGGTGCGTGATAAGAGAGCGGGGTTGGGATCGTTTTTGGTGAGGGTTGCGGGGATACTGGGGGGGTGTTTTGTTTGCGCTGAGTGGGGGTTGAAGGGGGTTGATGTTGTGCTGAGGGGGGTGTTGGGGAGGGGGAGGGGTAGGGGAGTGGGGGAGGCGGGGGAGGGCGAGGGGTTGTTGAGTCCGGTGGAGGGGAAGGAATATTTTTGAGTTTTGTTCAGAGGGGGGAGGGAGAGGGGGGGAGCGGAGGATATACCCATCACGACCCAGTTCATTTATTCGGCGCAAGATCAATGATACGAAACAACACAGCAATACGAGATATATGAGAATATGAAAAGCTCGCACTACAGATTTAATGTCTCATCGGATCACACCCAACCCTCCTCCTTACCTCCCCAATCCTCCCCACCATAAACCCACTAACAACCCCCTCCCTCCCCTTCCCAAACTGCACGAAATCCCCAAGGGCACAATACCCCTCCTCCCACCTCCACGCTAAACATCGCTCCCACGCCTCACACGCCGTTCTGCAGTTTTCTTTGTCGTACCATGGCGCACGGTCGGGTGGATCGTTGGGGGTAGGGTCTGAGCGCCGGTATTTAACGGAGCGGGCGTTGTTGTCCCAGGAGGGGAGTTCGGGGGTGAGTTGGTGTGCGATGAAGTAATCGTAGATGTCGGCGTATTTTATGTAGCCCTGTACGTCCATCCCTACGTTAGCAGGTCATTATCATATCATATGCTTTTCGTACCTCTTCTGGCATCATCGCTTTCTCGAATTCGTATAGCATGCCCATCTCCCTGGCGTCAAGATGGTGGAGTGTCATGATGGGTCTACACCAGCGGTCTTCGCGGTATGTAACCATATCGGGTGGTTCACGCTGAAAGATGAGTTTCATCGTCTCTGAGCGCCAGAAACCGAAACCGAGGTCTTTAAAGGATTTAGCGAGTACGTGATCCCCAAACGAGGTCTTCTCCCCCTCCCACCGATGTTGATCGTACTCGGGTGTGGCTACGGTAGCTTTCAGGAGAGCCTTGGACATGATGATCCCTGCGCCGCCGTGTGCGAACAGTTGTTTGTCAGTCCATGTTGGGGCTCCGGTGTAGATTGCTTCGGATGAGTTGAGGGTGTTTAACCACCGCACGAGGTTTTGCCAGATGATGTAGGTGTCACAGTCGACCATCACATACCACTCCATGTCTGGATATCTTTTGTAGGCATCCACCAACGCTGGCACGAATTTGTATTTGTCGAGCCTCCATCCGGCTTTTCCGATGTCACCCTTGAATATGGTCGTCTTGCCCGGTCCGCCAGTTCGTAACGCAACTTGATGTCGATAGAGCTCGAAATCCCGGTGATGGGTTTTGTAGTGTGGTGACACATTCACGAGGGCGTCGTAGATCTGAACACCGGCCACTGTGTCCTCTTGGTCGGAGTAGATGAGGAAATTGGGGACCGAGCCATCTCGAAGGGAAGTCGCGAGGTGAATCGGGATCCGGTCCCAGAGGACTGTGGCGCCGGTTTTTATAATCAACAGGATTTTGTCGGCCCCGGGAGGTTTGGGGCGACCCTTGTATGTGGTGGGGGTGAGGGGAGCGAGGGGGACTTGCGCGTTTTCTTCGAAGGTGACTTCGTCGGTGTTGCGAACGACACCGTCTTCTTCGTGTTGGATTGAGCCAGGTACTTGTAGGTCGATTGAGGCATCTTCACGAGAGGTCTGACGATCGTGTAACTTGCTGAGGATGAACAAGGTGATCGCGGTTCCGCATAGCCACGTGAGCATTCGTTGGAAACCTCGCGTAGTACGATAAGAACAACGCCTAGATGGCGCTGGTACCAACATGCTCAAAGGTCTCATCGTTCACTTCCAGTGACCTTTGGCTGGTGAGACTGTATACGTATACGTCGGACAACGCGAGCAGTTCTGTATGCCCAAAGGAGGGATTGGTGATGCCATGATCATAAGATGAGGCAACTTCGCCTCATTTGTCTTGGCGAAATCCTGTTCCGGAGATGTGTCCGTCATCGAGATGTCCAATCCCGAGCCGTGTCTGTGCCCAGACCAAGGTCAACCAGCTGGTGCGCACGAGATCTCCGCACTCTAAACCTTAAATGCCCGTCATCGACAAACGCAAAATCTGCGTTTAGGAGGATTCTGACTATACATGGGCGGGTATTTGGGAAGGTAGATACTCTACATTGACATCTGCAAATGCAACCAACAGTCACAATTTACAACGCCAAACCAAGCTAGCCAAACTAGCCCAAATGATATACAAAACTCACTGGGAAACAGAAATTCGATACGCAACCTTCCGATCAATTGGCCTTCAACGAAGCCCCCAACCCTGTCTTCCAAATCGTCTCGAAAAAGCAGTCATTAACCTGTGCCACCTCCCCCCTCATCGTACTAGCTGTCAACAACTCAAAACTGATAGACAACACGGGCACACCCGTCATCTCCTCTCTCACCCTCGTAACTTCCTCCTTCGTAATATTCTTATCAACCACCACTCCTGCAGGCTTAAGTTCGGCAGCGTCGTAAGCCTCACGAAGAGCCTCCAAATCGTCGGTGGCTCCAGAGACGTAGTAGCCGAGGATGGAGAGGTAGGCAGGTAGTGTGGGCTTTTCTGCACCAAACCCGTACGCGAGCAGAGGAACTCGAGGAGGTGAGTAAGCTGAGTTCCAGTTATCGATTTCGGCGCCGGTGGGGTGTCTGTTGGATGACACTGTAGATTCAGAGTCAGAAAGGACCAAGAGGACCCGGACCATAGAGCAACCCACTTGTATTAAACTCAGGATATGTTCAGAAGTCTGGTTGAAGACAGAGAACTACGCGGTTCTGACATGACGATTTATCAATTGCTAAGAGCAACGGGTAAGCTTTGCCGAATAGGTGGAGCTCGTCCAGCACATGACCGTTTACATCATCGACAAACGGTACGGTTACCTGCATCCGATCAAGCAGCGAAACGGATAGCTGCGGCCGAGATAAGACATTATCCGCCAAACCCCATTTTTGACAGCACTGAAATTGGAGTAGTAACTCCCTTGGCGATGGAGAGCAGTGGGTAGCAGAAGGTTTGACAGCAAGAGGGACCGACGCAAAAAAGGCGAGGTCGTGCCCGGAATCGAACCGGGGTTGTTCGGAAGCCGAGGCATCAGAACCGAAAGTGATAACCGCTACACTACACAACCAGATGATTGAAATTATTTCAATGATTGATTATACAAAGAGCCATGACCGATAAACCTCAGTTCCCACGGATTTTGATCCATCGTATAGCCTGCTGCTGTCTGTTAAGCACCATTTGCGTTACATGGCAGACATGTTTCCGTTATTTTTGCTATCCAGGCGTCCTACAAGAAAGTCTTGTCTTGTACATGTATGTTGGTAAATCACATCTAGATAGACTGGCTGCGAGTACTTATTCCCGTCAAGGGCGGTGTTCTTGCATCGAGAGGCAGCTATTGTTCAGGCCCATAACATCTACTGGCACAGCACTGCTGAGATGCCCCTTCAATAGCTCCTGGGAAGCATCAACGACCCAGAAATCCTCAATGTCATATTGCGTATACCTAGTTGATTCTATACTCGGACACCGTGGGAATCGTGCTTCCCATAGCTCGAGGCAGTCCGACGGAAGACTAAAACTGTGGTCAACTCGCAGCTGCAGTATGGGATTGGTTCCGGACTGTCATTTGGGAAGGCGTAAGGTTACGTCACGGTTCGATTCATACCAGCAGAATGACCGTGTTCCACTGAATGCCGAAACACCCGCTTTCTGGCTAACCTAAGATCGTCTATTCATCCTAATATCAATATGGTATCCTCTTCCTGCACCAACCCCTCTACCATCCCAACGCATCACCTAACCATCAACCGCCTCCACATAATTCGCCGGAAAACTCCCCTGAACACCTCCAATCTCACCCTCGGCCCACCCATCGCCTTGATCCTCTTTCACCAGCAAAATCACATCACCCTCCCGAATCGACAACTCAACTTCAGTCTGCGCTTCATAGTCATACAGCGCCTTGACATATTTCAGTCGCTTGGCACCACGTTTCGGTGCAACAGCTGGTCCCTTTTTCTTGAGTGAGGAAGCCATACTGGAGATCGATAATGTTCTCGAATGTGCCGCTCCGGGGGTAGATGCAGGAGCAGCGGCAGCGGCAGCGGGCGAAGGTGGGGGGTTGAGCGTAACGTAACTCGCAGGCACCACACCCTCCCGTCCCCCAATCCTTCCGGTCATCCACCCACTCCCGTCGTCCGCTACGACGACCTCGACCTCATCGCCCTCATTCACGCTCAACTCCGTCTCATCATTCGCTTGCCACGCGAAATTCACTCTGGCAGTCTGCACCTGCTTCGAAGTCGCGGCAGGTGGTAACGAGCGCTCGATACTCCCTATCCCAAACGGCGACGCGATCTCACGACGTGGCGAGCCTGGCGTTCGGGCAGCGTTGACAATATTGCTATACACCGAATTCGTCACCGAACTCTGCGTACTCGTCCTCGACAACGTCCCCGGGCCCTCCTCGCCATCACTCACAGCTCCCGCAGCTTTACTCTTCCTCTTATCCTTCTTGGAGGTTTTCTGAACGACTTGACCTGGACAACTCGCCGGAACCTTCATCTCGCATTTTGCGTGACACGCGAAGCCACACGCACGACACACGAAGCCCTGTTTGGCCAGGCCCCAGATTGTGCCTTGGCAGAAACCACAGGTCGTTGGGATGGTGAATGAGGCGCTCTTGAAATCATGAGGGGCGGAGTTGAGGTCGAGATCGCCGACTGCGGCGTGGACTGTGTCGAGCTCAATTTGGAGCGCGAGGCGGCGGGAGTCGAGGATCGTCACTGCGCGTTGACTTTCGAGGAGGTTGGCGGCAACTTCGTCACCGTTGCCTAAACTCGGGGTTTTGGTATATGCGTCGCGTAGGTTTTTGAGCCCTTCAATTTCCCGTTTCTTAGCCTCGACAGTCGCGTTCATATCCCGTAACTCTCCACGACTCTTCCCCACCAAGTTCCGCAAGTACACTTTCGATGCATCACTCGTGTCGATCGCATCAGAATCATGCCAAATCGGACTCGGCTGGAACGCGAATTCCGCAGGCTCTAACCACCCCCCAGCATTATGCTTGACAAACATCGTCGAGTCCAACACTGGATCATTCCTCGCGACCGCCGCAACGGTATTCTCCAAATGAAACTTCGACCGATCATAACACGCAATCTCCAATGTCGCCGCGAGCGTAAACAGCTCATTCACCTTCCTCGTCCTCGCCTCACTCAAATTCTGCATCGAATCCAGTACCAACGGCACATCCCCGTGGAAATACTTCTGTTTAGCGGCGTTCGCGACACGGATGGCGATGATGTAGGTGTTCTTGGCGTTGTTCATGTCGAGGGAATATTGGTGGAAGTGTTTTTGGGCTTTTGCGGAGTCGGTTGCGGTCTCTTGTTTTCGGCGGGCGGATTCGACGGATTGGCAGCATTCGTCGTATTTCGCTTTGGCTTTTTTGAGATCGGAGTAGATTTTATCGCGGTCTTCCAACAACTTCTCGGCAAATGTGACGTGTTTCTTCCGCATGTCCTCGCTCTTCAGTTGTACACCCTTCAACCCCTCCGCAATCTGCAGACTCAACTCTTCCGATAACCTCCCCCGTTCTCGTGCCAAATTCTCGACTTCACCAAGGATGTTGGTCCACGTCGTCATCGTCGCACTCTCCAGACTCCCAGGCGTAACTCTCGGCTCCTCGCCAACACTCACAACACTAGCTTTCTTCGCCTTCCGTTCAAAGTACTTCTTACTCAACACCGACAATTTCTGGGAGTACTCCTTCTCGATTGCGCATCGTTCTTTGTAGAATTCCCGGATATCGGTGAGGAAGGCGTTGTTTTGGGCGACCCATGCGTCGGTGGGCTTGAATGCGTCCTTCAGTTCTGCGCCGAAGGATGTTCGGGGTTCGTTATAGGATGGCATGGAGGGCATTGAGGATGTTGGTTGAGCTAGGTCGGCGGCTTCGGCCTCATCCCAGTCGGCCATTCTGAAGCTACTGGTATGTACGATCTATGTGCGAAAAATTGAAAGTAGCGAGTGTATGCTGCGGAAAGGGTGGTGCGGTGAATGCTGTCAAGTCGTACTCGCGATGGTGTGGGGAACGCGGCGGTGTACCGTACCGCGGAGCCCGGTGACGTGCGGGTGTAGTCAAGGAGGTCCATTGTCTGAAAACACAGAAGACTGAAGAGTCTAAACAAGAAAAAATCAATGGTAATTTTCGTTCTACTGGCGAGCGTGACGGGGTGGCCCCTGCCTCGCCCGGAAGTCCGCTGTCGCATCGCAACCTTAATTACTCCAGCAGCAAACATCCCTGTCAATTCACGTGCACCCCCATATCAAGTAATCCATCATGTCATCCTGGGCAGACGATGTCGAAGAGGAACTCAACACAACCTCTCCTCCTCCCACAACTACCACCCCCTCCTTCGCCGACCGCCTAGGACCAAAGACAACAGATCAACCATCCAGCACGATGGGGCCCGAACCTACCGCAGTTGAGAATGGCCAGATCCAGCAAGACGACAACGAGGAGGTAAATGACCTCATCAAGAACCAACACACCGTCACCGTCAAGCTCGTCGACCAACAAGCAGACCCCAACTCGCCCCTCTACTCTATCAAAACCTTTGAAGAGCTGCACCTGTCCGAGCCTCTCCTCAAGGGTCTCTACTCCATGAAATTCAACAAACCATCAAAGATCCAGGAGAAAGCGTTGCCGCTCTTGTTATCCAACCCCCCGCGAAACATGATCGGACAATCACAGTCCGGAACCGGAAAGACCGCTGCGTTCGCATTGACGATGCTTTCCCGCGTCGACCCCAAGATCCAAGCCCCACAAGCAGTGTGTCTCGCACCCTCCCGCGAACTCGCGATTCAAATCCAAGACGTCGTCTCAACCATGGCCAAATTCATGCCCGAGATCAAAATCCAGCTCGCGGCAAAAGAGTCCGTGGCAAAAGGCGCAACCGTCGACGCACAAATCGTCGTCGGAACCCCAGGAACCGTACTCGAACTCTGCAAGAGGAAGCAGATGAACGTCTCACAAGTCAAGGTCTTCGTATTGGACGAGGCAGACGAGATGATCAACCAACAAGGCCTGGGCGAGCAATCCCTTCGTTGCAAAAACACCGTCGGCCGAAACGCCCAAATTGTCCTCTTCTCCGCTACATTCCCCGAAGCAGTCCGGATGTACGCCCAGAAATTCGCCCCAGAAGCGAACCAAATTGAACTCAAACGCGAGGAACTCAGCGTAGAGGGAATCCGTCAACTCTGGATGGACTGCAAATCCCAATCCCACAAATACGATGTCCTGGCCGAACTTTACAATGTCCTGACAATCGGGCAATCCATCATTTTCGCGCGGACAAAGGCGAGCGTTATGGAGATCGCGAAGAGGTTGGAGGCGGATGGACATGCGTGTGTTGCGTTGACGGGTGATTTGGAGCCTACACAGCGTGACCACGTCATGTCCTCCTTCCGTGACGGTTCGCACAAAGTCCTTATCACAACCAACGTCATCGCCCGCGGAATCGACGTCCTCCAAGTCAACATGGTGGTAAACTACGACATGCCTCTCACCCCTCCCCCCGAGTCCAGACCCGACCCTGCGACGTATTTGCACCGTATTGGGCGAACGGGAAGGTTTGGAAGGATTGGGGTTAGTATTAATTTCGTGTGTGATGAGAGGAGTTTACGGGAGATGCAGGCGATTGAGAGGTATCTTGGGGTGAAGATGATCAAGGTTCCGACGGATGATGTGGAGGAGACGGAGAAGGTTATAAAGGCTGCTTTGAAGGTTTAGAGACGGTCTTTTTGGACGGCAAAAATGAGGAACGAGGATGATGATGATAAAATGACATGAATTTTAATACGGTACACCGCTAAATCTCGTTCAAATGCAAGATAGGACGCCCTCTCCTTATCCCACTATAACCGAAAAGATACCCTGTCACGACCAGCGCCCGGTTACCAGTTATTAGTCCGTTTCCCATCTTTCTCCCTCCTCAACTCAGTTATCAGGAGCTCCTTGTTGCAGTATGCAGCACTATTCCTCATCACGTTTATGTTAATCGACGTACCCTATCCCCAAAAAAAACACTCAGATCATGCGAAAATCTCAAACAAACTCCAAATCATCACTATCACTTTCCTCAACAGCCTTCTGTACCTCCTTCCCCTTCACCTTTGCCGGACTCAACCTAACCTCCCCACTCGCAACCCCACCCTGCAACAACCCCTCCACATTCGGCGGTCCACCAGCTCGATACATCCCCTCCCTCCTCTTCGTCGGATCAAATCCAAGCCGTCGAACATGCTGTGCCGAAAACGCACTCCCACTCGATCCCTCCCCCTGTGATGGAGACACCACGACCCCTTCCCCGGACTGGATCGACATGTATTCAGCACCGACCCCACCTCCGGAGACTTTCGCGAGCTTCTTCATCGTTTCCAACTCCTTCTTCCGATCTTCGAGGTCTTTTTTGAGTTTGGCTTTGCGGGCTGCGGTTGAGGCTGGGTCGTCGTCGAAGAAGTGGGAGGAGGCGTAGGCGGCGGGCATGACGTACGTTTTTGCGCCCGTGCCTTTGTTTACCCAATCTGCTCTTCCACCATCGCTGGGTAATAAGCCTGTTCCGCGTGCGTCGCCTCCATAACTACCACCACCACCACCACCACCTCCACCTCCCCTACCACCTCTTCCTCCTCCTCCACCTCGTCGCGGCTCATTCGACACAGCCAACTCCATCCTCCCACTCCTAATCTTCTTCAAATTCATATCAACATGAAACCCACACCACTCCCCCTTCTGTAAATCAACCCACATCTTACACCTCCCCCCATCCTTCTTCATCGCACTACAAACCCCCAAATCCCTCGACCTCCCAATCTCGAGCAACTGGTCTTCAGGTTCAGAGAGGTTGAGAGAGAATGTGACAGCGGTGCTGACGCGTGGTTTCATGACGGCCGGGTTGAGGAGTGCGATGAGCGTCCCCCGGGTGACTTTCCAGAATTTCTCGAAAGCGGGGCCGAAGAGGAAGATTTCGATGTCGTATTTTAGGTCGGTGAGGGTTAGGACTAGGTATTTTCTTTGTTCGCCTTTGGAGGCTGTGCGGACGTCTGATTTCGAGGCGATGATGCCGAGGAGGATCCAATCTCCCACGACGTCGGGTGCCTCGAATGCTGGCCCCGTAACTGTTTTCAAGAGATCTGGGATGGTGAAGAGGGTTCGGCCCCTAAAGTGTTCGGATAGGTCTTCTTTGTCGATGAGTTGTTTCGTTAGGTATTGCTTTGAATATGGTTCCAGGATTCCGCCTGTAGGTTTCTCGAGAACGATGTCTGCCTCTTGTAGTTGATGCTGTGACTTGGCTTGTGGAAACTCGAATGATGCAGCCAGGATAGCCTCTCTCGCTCTCCTCCCCTCCTCCACTGCGCCGATCATCTGCACCGGAACCTTCTCATGGCCTGGTTGCTGTACTGGCGTAGGCCGTGAAGTCTGAGTTGGCGGTGTGACAGGTCTTGCTATAGGCGCAAATCCCTTCGATCTACTCTCCTTCAACAACACCTCCCTCTCCCTCCTCCTCCTCTCCTCCTCCTTCGCCTCCGCCAGACGGTCGTTAAACGTCTTCAACGGTCTCGGTGGAGTCTTTGATGTAAAATCTGGCTGCGTGGGCGGTTTCCTTAAAGAGATGTCGCGACCGGTGAGGCCACGGTCGAGGTTTAGGAGGACTCGAGCAGGGGAGCGGGAGGGTGATTGTGCGTGTATTGGTGGTTTTTGCGGGGAGGGCGTAGGTGACTTTGGTACTTGCAGAGCATCGATTTCTGCTGCTTTTCGCTTCCGGGCTTTTTCTTTTTGGACCTTTTTGAGGGCGAGCTGGGCTTTGATCTCGGCGAGTTTAAGTTCGAGGGTTTCTGTGGTGGTCTCCCCGTTAGACATGATTGACATCAGGCAGACGAGGGAAGCGGGCCACCTTCATCCTCGTCTTCATCTTCGTCACTACTAGCGACGTGCGGGATCTTCGCACTCTTCCGTAGTGGACTTGGCGATAATGGAGCTTCCAGCGCTGCTCTCTTCCGCTGACTTGGCGGTGAAGATATGATGTGAGCTTCATGAGGCGATGCTGGAGGCCACGGAACATCTACGCCGTAATTAGTTGAGCAGCCAGAAGCTCCAATGGGATCGCGTACCTTGTTGCGACATCCTGGTTGAGGTCTCAATGACAGCGACGGTGAAGTACACGTACAACTGAGTCCTAACCTTATTTCAGTCAGTCTCGTTTCGCATGTGTGGCTCTGGCCCGCCTGCAGACGTCCAAGACAACCTGGCAGCTGGGCAACCAACCACCACCACAAACGAACCCGTCACCGAAAGGCACGCATTGAACGCCTAGACAAAGGCTCAATCGGTATCTTTGCGTATCATAGCGTACGGCTGTTACGCGTTTCCGTCATCCGCGAGCGATTCCTTGGCTCGCTCGGCCTTCGCGGTAACGTTATCTTTGTTGAGCCTTCTCGCCGCGATTCGAGTCGAAAGTTGCAGATACACGACAAAAGCTTTCAATTCACTGTTCGTTCCCGACGTTCGCTACATACATTTACGCAAGACGCATATTCCCCGATCATCTCGGTTAAACGTAGTCGCTGTCAATCGCTTAATCTCGCAAAGCACCAACGAGCAGCATTCAATCACAACATCAGTCAGCTGCAGCTCAATACCCAAGCGTCACCACGACTCATCCAAGATCGCATAATCGCATGTCATACACGCCGGGCTTGGAGCCGGATTCTCCACCATCGCGAGCGAGTCTTGTGCAATGGTGGAAGCAATTCAAAACAAAACCCGCAAAGAAGCCGGAGGGTCCGAAAGGTGGGTACTTGTATCAGCATATAACCGCATTCAGAGGAGCAGGAACTAAATGGTGGCAACAGGCATCTTCAACGTACCACTTCAGGAATCAATCAAGTATGCGCATGTCGCCATCTCACTGACAGACCCTAATGGCGAGTCGTTCGTGTACGGCTACATCCCCATCGTCATAGCAAAATGCGGCGTCTTTCTCAAATCCCAAGGTCTCGACACAGAAGGAGTCTTCCGAATCTCAGGTAGCGCAAAACGCATCAAGGAACTCCAACTAATCTTCGACTCGCCGCCGAAATACGGAAAGAACATGGATTGGAGGGGATACACCGTGCACGACGCCGCGAACGTTCTTCGAAGATACCTCAACCAACTACCAGAACCAATTGTCCCCCACGACTTTTACGAACAATTCCGCTCACCGATCGTGGAGGAACCCTACAACGAAACCCACGCAATCGAAGCCTACCAATACCTCATCTGCCTCCTCCCCTCCCTAAACCGACAACTCCTCCTCTACATCCTCGACCTCCTCGCCGTCTTCGCCTCAAAAGCAAACGAAAACCTAATGACAGCAGAAAACCTCGCAGCAATCTTCCAACCCGGGATCATCTCCCACCCAAACCACGACATGAGTCCAGACGAGTATCGGATTTGTCAGAAAGTGTTGATATTCTTGATTGAGCACCAGGATCACTTCTTATTGGGGATGGGACCTACGGGGATGCATCAACAACCACCGACACCGCCTGGCGAGACACGCGGGGCACGGAGACAGACTGCGTTGGGCATGGGTATGCCACCACAGAAAGCCGCTGACCTCCGCCGCTCACGGACGATCACGCCAACTAACTCCGTAGCGAACGCGGCAGCAGTACGCCGAAATGCGAGTATCACCTCTTCACGAGTTGGTTCACCCTCTGGCCATGGGAGTTCAGTCGCGAACGTGAGTCGGAGTAATACGTTACCGAGTAAGAGACGGATGGTACCGGGTACTGCTGCTGGCGGGGCAGTGATGACGCCGACGAGGGAGGGGAAGACGGGGAGTCCTAGTATTCACGGGTCGCCGTCGCCGTTGGGGCCGGGGACGCCGGTGGATAAGTCGCCGAGGCCGTCTGGGCAAGTGGAGCGAGAAGATGTGGATGAGCCTGGTGTGGGTGTGGAGGCGGTACAGGTGCAGGTGCAGGTGCAGACACCACCTCAGCAACAGCAGGGATTTGCGAGACCGTTGGTTAACCCTTTGCATCACGAGGCTGCGGCTACAGCGCTTGAGCGCGGAATGCAGACCGGTGAGGTGGTATCAGAGTGTGTACCACCATCTACACCAGCCGTTGTACCCGTCGCGATGGCGCCAGCGCTGAAGATTACCCGGCCGGGTTTGATGGCAAGATCGAGCAGTTACCAAGAAGACCTCCACCCCTCACCACCACGAGACGACATAACACACGCCGGATTGGACACCCACCAACACCCACGCGAAGAACTCGCCGACGTCAAAGTCCCCTACACAACCCTCGAAGTCGAATCATCCCCTGCACCCTCAGCACCAGTCTCCTCCCCCTCCTCGCCATCAAAACTGCACAATTTGGGCCAACGACTGAGTTTTGGGTTGAGACATAAGAAGAGTGAGGATAGCCATACACCGACGTCGTCTGTGACGAGTTTGGGGTCTTCGCAGGTGCCGTGGACGGCAAGTCCTGTACGGGGGGCGTCACCGTTGCATTACCCGCCTTCACTGACGCCTGGGCATGTACAAACACAACCATCGCTGCAGCCGCAGCCGCTACAGCTGACGACGAGTGGGCAGCTGGCGTACCAGCACCAGCCACAGCGGCATACACGCCTCCACTCCAACTCGCTGAGTTCGACGGAGTTTAGTGCGAGTGCAGCGAGTAGTCGGCGGAGTTCGGTCGTTTCCGTAACAGGTCAGGGAATGGAATCTTCTTCGGGGCGGTTACGTGCGCAAACATCTCTTCCTGGGCTCCAACAGCAGGGGCAGGGTCGGCCGGGCATAGGACAGCGTGTACCCTCTGCCTCAAACCTCCGGCCTGAGGACGCAATAGGCATGTCCATCCCGCATTCAGGATCCGAGGGAAGAGAGGTGCGGAATAAGGATAGTCAAGGGAGTTTGGGGATGATGAGTACGAGTCCTGCGGGGAAACTTGGACAGTGGTTTAGGAAGAAGAGGAGTGAGAGGGGGAGTATTAGTAGTGTGAGTCAGAGTGGGGTTGGGGAGGGGGGTGAGGAGGGCGGTCGATGATGAGGGGGAGACATAATGACATTGCAAAGAAAGTGTGCGGCTTTGGAAGTGAGAAATTGATGGGAATATGGGTGATTGGTTGATTGATTTGAATTGATTGAGAGGCTGCGTAAAGCCTATTCGTGTTGACGTCGCGTCTCGTTGCGCGTTATTTATTTTACTTTCTTTTTTTGTTGCGGGTGTTATTGTGAGCGTTTGTCTCGTTTTGCAATTGTTTGGATTTTGCTTTCGCGATCGGGTTGATGATTCTTGTTCTTGCACGTTTGGAAGCTTTCATACGCATATTTCATAATCCTCAAGAGTCTTTGGTATATGTGAATGAATAATAGTGACCCTTTTGGAAAAACAAGATAGAACTCCGTTGACGCCGTTGTACCCACTTCCTTTTCTCCTCTTTCCCCATACCCTTCTCCGACGACTATACTGAGGAAAGATACGCTGCGAGGTGTCTATCAAACATCTCACACCTAACGGGCATCTCAACCTGATAAAACGGATTCTTCATAACATAATCCGTGTACAACTCATACACCCTCCGAGCCACACTCTCCGAATTCGGTTGTCGTGGTTCGGTAAATAGGAGAAATTTCGTGCCTGTACGGGTTTGGAAGCATTGGATGCGGAAGTTTTCTGTTTCGAGGGATTCGATGCCGGAGGAGTGGGGGAGGGGGGAGATTTGTGCGGTGATGGCGTGGACGCTGCGAGCGGAGCGAGCATGCGTTAAGAGGAGGGGAGGAAGGAGAACGGTAGAGGGAGAGTAACTTACCCGTGGAAAGTTCCGGCGAGGACGAGGTAGTCGTTTGACGACAACTTGGCCAACCCGCCCTTCTCAGGCTCCGTGAAGTTGCGCTGGTAGATTAGACCGCCGGCCTATCCAGACACGTTCAGCATACAATCCAACAGCATGTATATTCCCTCGCACCTTGTTGATGATGTACAGCGAAAAGATCATGGTTAATGGTCAATGGTCATCGACTTCGTCTCAGCCGGTTGAGCTCGAGTCCACGGCTCCCGCATGAAGCTGCATGAACCCGCATAACCTCCAAACGCGACGCCGGTACGCTGATACAGCATACACCCCGTCCAACAGCATAGAAGCATACATAATGGACTCACACAGACCAACACGACAAATCAGAAGAGGGCAGGAAGAAGGTACCGTTACCTCATCGAGGGTCTGGGTATCCAGCTGACAAAGGGTACAGAGGATGCAGCGACACTGAAGTTGGGCGCGTTTAATAATGTCACGGCATTGACGGTATCGGAAGCAAAAGTTATTCTGGAGCAGCTGCAGAAGGATAAGAAGGATGCGACGCTAAACGAGTACGTACCCCCTCCCCTACTTTCCCCATGTGTTTCCCGCTGGCCGAGTGCTCCACATGATGGCCGAGGCTCCCCTCATGGGTGTTGAGTGCCCACCTCCGTCCGCATGCTTATTCCCTACTTACAGAATCCAACAAAAAACCCAAGACTACGTCTCCCTCTTCTCCCGCTTCCGCACCTCCGAAATCGTCCAAGCCGTCGACCGCGTCGTCCGACACCCCGGCAACCCATACGAACCCTATGAGGCCGCGCAGTTAGCGACGCTGTGTTGTGAAGAGGCGGAAGAGGCAAAGTATTTGATTCCTAGTTTGGCGGGGAAGGTGGAGGATGAGGTGTTGCAGCAGTTGTTGGATGAGCTGAGTAGTTTGAGGAGGGTGTGATCTCATTTTGGAGGGTGGAAGGAAACACAAAAAGTCGCCCATGGAACGGGTCAATGGGTGCACCGCGGTATATGCTGCGGTGACAGTCGAGAGCGAGTAAGCAGGCATCTGCGTATGGAGGCTTGTTCTATTTTTGGGGGGGGGGGGGGGGGGTATACGACCTTAACACAGGTCCAAAACAAAGGCACTCTAAGATCTTCTCTAACGTCCAATATCCACCCCGCTCAATACAACTCCTCCTCCTCCGTCACCACCCGTATCTCAGACTCCCTAATCCCAACCTGATCATCCTCAAACAAAAATCTCCCCCTCAGCTTTTCACCTCCCAACACCCTCGGCCACCAATATCTATCACCCGTCCACATCTCCCCATACGGTATCTCATCTTCCCTGAACCATTTTGGTACCATCTCAGGGGAGGGTTTGGGGAGGCCGTGAAGGGTGGGGGAGTAGGTTGGCAGGAGGAGGACGTGGGTGTGGAGGAGTGTGGGGGAGGAGGTGAAGGCGAAGGTTAGATGCGCTACTTTGACTAGTTCTTCTTCTCTTACTGTCAAGCCGCATTCCTCCTGTTCATGCTCTTAGTATATTGTTCGAGGAGAGAGGGAGGGAGTTTGGGGAGAGTAGGTAGATAACGGACCTGTACTTCCCGAACAGCAGCTTGCAAAACAGTTTCCCCAGGCTCGAGTTTCCCGCCGAAACCGTTCCATTTTCCTTGGCCAAGGCCGCGCTGTTTCATTCCCAACAGCATCTATACCAGTGTCAATCCTGTCCTGTCCTTAGGCGCGGGGATATGAGGGCGGACCTTTCGGTTCTCTCGATCGTGAATGATGCACAACGTTAGATCTTTTGAGTATGGGCGGTCGTAGCGTTCGTATTGTTTGTCTTCGATGACGACCAACGGGGTCGAGCTGCTCGTGTTCGCCAACGTCATCACAGCGAATGTGAGTGTGAGGATCAAGGAGGAGGTCTTGTTTCGGGGTTTGTACACACCGCGGCCGAGGAACCGAAGTTGCGCTCAATTGCAAGCTTTGGCACCTGCAGGTGTAACGAAGATATACCTAGCCATATTCGGCAAATCGAGTTGGCCCCGAGAAGGGGGATGAAGACAAATTGAAACCTGGGTGGAGCTGTGTTCGAGTACAGGTTTTGTAGCGTCTTGCCTCTTGGTGAGGAAGATGCTTACGGCCGAGCCTGGCCGAGCGTGGGAACTCGAATGATATCATGATCGAAATGAAAGTGCTTACCGCCGTTGCGGTATCGTTGCTTGCTGAAGTTGTTTATGCGCTGCCAGAGGCTCAAGAACGTGAGACTTGCTGGCTCAGTGCACCATCCTCCATGTTAAAGCTCAAAAGAAACCTGTGCTCGGGTGTGCAGAAGAGAACGAAGTGCACACCAGCAAATCAAACACAGACAATGCACACCCTCTCACTGACTCCAGAGAGCAAGTAACAACAAGTGCATGAAGAGCAGATTGCGGAAATCAATCAAGACAGGGACAATTGCCCTGAATAAGGCCCCCAAAAAGACAAAAACGTGTATGCCCTCGGCGAGGATCGAACTCGCGATCTCCCCGTACCCGCTTGGTAGCAGATATGAGCAGGGCGCTCTAACCAGCTGAGCCACGAAGGCGAAGGCGATGTCTTGCAAACCTTGTTGTCAAACGGATACAACCAACTAAGAGAACATCTATCGATCACGGCAACCAGGCTGCCCTGAGATGAGAGTCCCTAGGCTATCCTCGTTCAATCCCTCGCCTGGGTGTTCTGCGGCGTATCAACGAGCTCTTGGAGCCCCTTGGCGGCGTACCAAAGCTCCACGCCTCGTCTGTTCCTTCTCGCGTCGGCGTCCCCGATCGCGACCCCCGCACTTCGGCCGTGGTATATACGACGCTCCCCCCCCCCGCGGTCCTCGCCTACAACTCCCACAACTCCCACGCTCCCCACCACCACCTTCTCCCACCCGTATTCTATCCAACACTCCCCACCATAGCAGCAGCAGCCATGTCAGACTCTTCTCCAAAGTCAAGCGATGCCGACAAAATCGCTTACCTCACCTCTATCCTCACCTCCCCCCTCATGTCCTCCGGTCACCAAAAACACCTCCTCCGAACCCTCAAGGCGGTGTCAGTTGACGACGACTGGAATATCGTCTTGGAGATGGAGGTAGATGACGAACTGTGTAACCCGATGGGGAATTTGCATGGTGGGGCGATGGCGCTGATTGTTGATGTTTGTACGAGTTTTAGTGGGATGGGGAGGGGAATCGGTAAGCACGAGGACTGCCCCTCTAAGTGCCGATCTGGGTGTGCTGATAATAGTGATAGGTATAGCGGTATCGAGGAATTTGTCCGTGAGCTACCTCCGACCAGCACCGAGTGGGTGTAAGATTCAAATTGAGACGGAGGTGGTGAGTATCAGTAAACGGATGACGCTGTATCGATGTACAATCAGGGATGCAGAGACGAAGAAGATCATTGCGATTGGGGAGCATGACAAAGCAATTCTTGGTGGTTCACATAAGTTGTAGCAGAGGAATAGAATGACAAGATGAATAAGAAATGCATGGTATTGGTAACACGGGGTATCAAAAATCCAAAAGAAACAGATAGCACATACTCATACACGACAATCTTATCTCATCTTACAAGAAGCCGCCCGCAGCTCTCTTCAATCCTCAAGAAGATCCCATGGCCAGCTTAAGCCCAAAGGTCAATAACAGCACGACCAGAGATCTTACCCTTGATCAAATCATCAAGCGTCTCCTCGAGCTCCGACAACTTGTGAACAGCAACAGTAGGCTTAACCAAACCCCTAGCCGCAAAGTCCAAAGCCTCCTCCATGTCACCACGGGTACCGACATTGGATCCAACGATGCGAGTACCGTTGGCGAAGAGCGTCATGGGTGTGATCTTGATCTCGACGTGGCCTCCAGGAAGACCGACAGCGACCATGGTTCCATTCTTGCCGCAGAGGAGGGGAGCAGTGGCGTACCCCGAAGCGGACGCAGCGACGACAACAACGGCATGACACATCTTCCCACCCGTGATCTCCTTGACAGCACCCACCACATCCTTGGTCTTGGTAAAATCAACGAAAGCCTCCGCACCCAACTTCTTCGCAAGCTTCTCCTTATCCTCGCCTCCGTCGATACCAATAACGCGAAGCCCCATCGCACGAGCATACTGCACACCCAAATGTCCCAACCCACCACCAGCACCAATGATAGCAACAGTCTGACCCGGCTTCGCCTCACTAACCTTCAACGCCTTATAAACCGTAACACCACCACAAAGCACAGGCCCAACATCAACATCATCGATCCCCTCAGGGACCTTAATCAAATAATTCGTCGGAACAATGGCGTATTGCTGGAAACTCCCGTCCGCATCACGGCCGTGGTTGGACTGGTTGGGACAACGGGTTTCGGTACCGTTACCCATGCACATAGTACAGACGGCACAGGTTTGGCGGATCCAGGCCATGCCGACTTTGTCGCCGACTGCGCAGTTTTGGACGTCGGGGCCGAGGGAGACGATGGAGCCCACGCCTTCGTGGCCGCCGACTTGGCAGAGCATGTCGGCGCCGGCGGCGGACCAGTCTCCGCGCATCAAGTGGGCGTCGGTGTGGCTATCATCACGAGCGTAAGCGAGTGTCGGAGCGAAGCGAGGGTCTGCGGGAAGCGATTGTACACGGATCCGGAGGAGGGACGACATACCAAACACCCGAGTGCGTAACCTTGACCAACACCTGTCCAGGCCCAGGCTTGGGGGTATCGATCTCCTCGATGACCATCTTGCAGTTCTCACCGGGGTTCTTGACCACAGCGGCGGTGTGCTTGGAAGGGATCTTTTGGGAGGACATCTTGTTTTGTTTGGTATTGCTTTGTCGTGTGAGGAGTTGTTTGGTTGAGGACGAGTTTGGAGGAGTAGGACGGGGTGGTACTTATACCCAAAAGATCCCAACGACTCGATCTCACAAAAGCGGGGGTGAGCGAGTGAGAGAGAGGTGGGGTCCGGACAAGGCGACAAGTCATCTGAACTGTAGCGTGCAGGGCCATTATACCTCACCCCACACGAACGTGATAACAAGGGTCTCCCACAATGGGTGATCGGAGATGACAATTGCCTGCACACCTTATTGAGTGTCGTGACTTGGCAACAACGCTGCGGTGTAACATGAGCGGGTCGTAGGAGTGTTGATCACGGTCATGCGCCGGTTCTGGATCGGAGGCGCTTTTGAGTGTTTGAACCCTGCGGCGGAAAAACACGGTCCCGATGCAGCAAGCAAAGCCTATAGGGTCCCAACAGATCGTACGCGTTGAGCATATGACGTATAAAACCGACTCACTTTCCAGGCATCAAGCGGGGAGTATCTCGGTTGCCTGATCCGAAGCACCAGGTAGCTTCTAGACCCCCAACCTGCGTACAGTAGGCGCAAACGCTCATACAAGTCCAAAACACAGCCAAGGTCAGCTGGTCGACCAGAACTCTTTAAATGGGATGGAGGACGAGAGGAGGAGATCAGTTGGCAATCTCGGACGGAAGGAGTTGCAGATCTCGAAGTCAATCGATTAGATAAGATGAAACGTACGCGTCGGCGCCGTGTCCGGGCCGTGCGGAGGAGACGGCCGTGTCGTCAGCGGGTCATGGCATTGATCAATTGGAAAGTAGACTGTCAAGTGTTGCGTCCGGCGGTCCTTTTGTCCTCTTGATACTAGCTACCAAGGTCCACCTCCTTCTTGTGAAAGTCACCTACAAGGTCCTGGTGAACTTCCCAAGCACATGTGAACACATTCTCCCACGTGCCCCCCTCATTGCTCCCCCACACTCAGCTAACACCTGGACATTTATTCCTCTCCATGTCTCGAAGCACTCTACCTCCCTCGAGCTATCCACACTCGCACTCACGGCTGCGGTCACGGACATCTGACCCCCGCGACCGAGCTCCAAGATCAATTGACGATGGCATCGATCCCGAACGACCCCTCCACCTAACCCTCCTTCCATCCCCCTCCCCACACGCTCTAATCCCCCTCCTAACCACCACCCTCCCAATCTACCTCACCCTCGACCCCGAACACCCCCGTCAACACCTCATAACTCTCACGCCAATCTTTGCGTACGCCGGACTGAGTGCCGTGGAGGGGTTATTGAGCTGGGAGTTGAGTCCGCCGGAGTATGAGGTGGAACTTGGGGGGATGGGACCGAGGAGAGGGGAGGGGGGGGTTGATGTCTGGGTGGTTGTGAGTACGGTATGCCACTCCCCTTCCTCAGGTCTCTGCTGGCACTTTTTCTTCCCAATCGAGCATCGTTGGCTGACGTGGCGAAGGGGAATAGGCCAGACGAATAGCAGCAGAGTTATTCGACCCAATACCAGCACCACTATCACACCTCTTATCCCCACTCCTGGATCCAATCACGTCCATCCACGACCCAACCACATCCCGACTCCTGCACAACTGGTATCTTGCACCAACCGTGCTTCCACCCTCCCGCACATCGACCGCAACGCTACTCCAGACACACTTCGGAGCCGGGGATATTGTTGTGTTGAGGGCGGAGGGGGAGTGGGTGGAGGGTGGGGAGCCGGATGGGTTCGAGCTCGAAGTGGATGGCATGCTAGCGCTCGGAGATACGGATGAGGACGGGGTGAAGGAGGCAATGGTTAGGTGGTCGAGTCAAGTTGTCGAGGATTGGAAACACCCAGCCGAACGTACCGGTCCCCACCTCCCTACCATCCTCACCTCCCTCCGCGGGATCCTCGCCTTAATGGGTACGGAGATGGGGGTTGAAGTCGAGGAGGTGTTCGAAAGTGCACGGAAAGCGAAGACAGTGGGGAGGAAGAATGAGGCAGTGATGGTCGGGGTTGTTGGTGTGTTGGAGCGGGTTCATCGGCACTTGCTAGAAGAGAAAGAGCTCGCATCCAGCACGCGCCGGCGTGAGAAGAAAGATGGGAGGACGTACACCGGTACGACGGATACCCACAAACAGTGCGATATCAGTTCGAGGACTGTTTATGATGAACTCGACGTACTTGAGAAAAGGTCTCGCAATATCGACCGTGTGACAAAGGCGCAAAACCGCGAGATGGCTACTGTCAAAAGGAGGATTGAGGAGCTTGAACGGAGGACGGCGGCGCGTGCTCTACACGAAGAAAAGAGCAAGAAAGAGACAGGTCATACTTTGAAGGTTGATGAAGGAGCAGATTGGGTTTTTTTGGCTTTATGTTTATTCTGCATTATCTTTAGCAACGTCTATCCAGACTTCTTGGCTTCGGGCGCATAGCCCGATAAGGCTCTATTCCAGGTATCATCCAAACAAACCTCCTCATCAATATCACTTCCTTTTGTCATGAAGCCATCAGTTCTCCGAGTTCTGCTCATCTCACTGCGCCTGAACCGCTCCCGTATCCATATCCACCCCCAGTACCAGCGCCCCCTCCTCCTCAGCCAACCTCTCCCTTTCCTCCTTCTGAACCTTCGCATGCTTCTCCGCAGCCTCCGTCATACACTCTCTAAAATCCGGAGCCAACCCATACTTCTCATGCCCACTCTTCTTCCCATAAGCAACCACCTGTGACGACCAATCCATCCTCATACCATAACCAGCCCTAAGAACCTGAGTCATATCGGCAAGCTCCTTATCCATTTGCGCACTCGGGAACCACCATGTGTGACCATCAGAGAAGTAATGAATATTCCGCCATTCCCAGCTGATGAGAGAGGAACATCGTACGTGGTGCTTGTAGACCGTGAGGAACGTGGCGCATACTGCTCCTCCCCGAAGACGAAGATGGGTTATTGGTAGGGGTTGGAGAAATTCAACTAGCGCGTTGGCCGTAAACGATGCGGATAACGGGACGCAGGGTTTATCTTTTGGCGTACCGTCCTGCCAATCCACGGTGTCGAGATTGAGTGTGAGAATGCGGAGAGACCTCAAGGAGAAGAGATGGTGAAGTGACGAACGAGTAGGGTAACGAGGACCGACACCTTCAGTATCGATTGATAGCTCACATGAAGTGTTTGACATTTCGTAGGCTTTCAGGAAGTGCCAATCTGAAACATTCTCGGTTCCGGATGCAGTGGGAACACTCGTAAGTCTCAAACGAGTAAACTGCGGACGATTTTCAGCAAGTATAGCGAGATTCATGGTCGAGATTGGAAGCACAATGGCGAATTCCGAGGATAGCATATCCCCAGTCGACGGTGACGGAGCCAAGCACCTTAGGAGGAGTTCAAGATGCTTCTCCTTCTCACCAATAACGAGCGTGCCACCGTACCTAATACGCTTCAGTAACGCCGAGCTCCAGGGATAGGCATAACCAAGGTTAAACGGAAATATCACTTCTGGCAGCGTGACTGATACCTGTTCCATAGACAGAGGCCAGATAAGAGTCTGCTCTTGCTCCCATTCGTCGAAGAACTCATGCAACATCTCAAGATCAAACTTCCCCAGTTTGGAAAGCTCCCAAATTAAGTGAATCGGGCTCGCATACATGACCTTGTAGAACGCCTCGATTTCTCGGTCAGTCGCCCACACAAAGTCCATACTCAATACTTGGATGGAGGAGTCACGGATAGCCTCCCACTCGGCTTCAGACACCCCACCGATCCTGCGTGTAGCACGGTGGAGGCAGAGAACATTGAGGTTGCGAAACAAGGGGACGAAAGCAAGGATAGGGCTGATATGGTGCTTTTGGTAACCTGAAACAAAGCGTTGCTCGGTGTTTATCGCGTTGGGTGCGTTCTCCCCCCAAAACTGTTGGCAGCCAAGAACGAGGACGGAGACGGAAAGACGACCTGTACCGGTAGCGTACTTGCGTTGAAGCCAACCGACTCTGGTACTAATCAACCCCATGAGATTCAGAGAGTCAATATTTTCAGGCATCAAGCTCCATGAACGCTCGAACTCATCGCCGGTGAGGTGCATCATCGCTTCTTCGTCAGCAGCCGGCCAGGACCTCACGTGGGCGGCATTCTTAGCATTCAATCGCTTGAAGAAAGTAACTGAAGCCTCTGTGGAGACGGTAGGGTTGGTGTACAAATGGTAAGGAACGAGCGAGTTGCATCGCTTGTCGAGGAGCGCAAAGATGGGTAGGTCAGCTTGATCGAGGAAGGAGCATATATGCTCAACAATCTCGGTCGGAAGCGTCTGAAAAGTTCGCGTAGTTTGATTAGAAGACGTAAAGTTCGGCATGGCAAGAAGGGATGCGAAAAGAATTGTCGATGATATTTATGGGGATGTAGGGGATGTATGCTGTGCAAAGCTCGAATAAGCTGTAGTGAGTTGAGCGAGAGAGTAAAGCAATGGCAAAAAGCAAGATCGAGAAGAGCAAGTGGTTAGGGTTAGGAGTGCTGAGCTGCCTTCCTGCTACTTCGAGGTCCAAAGAGCGCCGATGTCGTGCGAAACCAGGGGACGCACCATCGATCTCGCGCGGGAACTTTCCCACGTTCACCCGTCGCCACTCAACCTCGAACCCTCCCCTTACCGCCTTATCGCCCAGCTGCTGGACCGCGGCCGGCCAAATGCCCAAGTCGAATAGGGGAGAAGCACCCACTCACTCACTCAAACCCTATGCCGACCCTCCCCATTCCATCATGACGCGTATTTGCCGGGACATGCATCACTGTGCATCCACTGCACCCGTGCTGCACAACCGCGTAACCAGACCGAGGGGTTCTTCTCGCCGACTTGGCGAAATGTACCTGGTAGACAACGACTCTGTATAAGAGACGATAGAGAAGATATGTCGACTGCACCATCCGGTACGTTCTGCTTGAAGGTGGTGATGCAGATTGAAGGGCGTTGGCTGACGGAGGGTGACAGCTCGCTTTTCCTTCGCTCGGAGTGGGGTACCGCAGAATATTGGTCATAGAGGGTATGCCTGAACCTGCCTGGATCCATATCAATCTTCTGACCTGGTCCGACATAGTTACAAAGCCCTCTACCCCGAAAACACCCTTCTCGCAATGCGTGAAGCAATCCGCGCCGGCGCCTCCGCAATCGAGACGGATATCCACCTCTCCAAAGATGGGACTGTGGTGATTTGCCACGATCCCTCTGTTGACCGAGTTTTTGATGGAGAGGGTTTGGTGGCGGCTAAAACGGATGAGGAGTTAAGGCGGTTGAGGACGAAGAAGGCGCCGCATGAGGGGATGCCGACGTTGAGGGATGTGTTGAAGATGGTTACGTCGGAGAAGGAGTACGAAGATGTGTGGTTGCTGCTCGATACGAAGGTGCAGTGCTCTAAACCTAATTTGTTCCGAACTAAGCTGATGTAACATTGTACAGATGGACAACCCCAAATCCGTTATCGAAAAGATCGGCGATACGCTGAAAAGCGTCAACCCCTCCATGACCTATTGGTCCTCCCGCATCCTCCTCGGCATCTGGCACCCGAAATTCCTTCCTGCTTGCGCGACACACTTACCCGAACTTCCCATCACCAATATCTCCCTCACACTTTCCATCACGAACAAATATTTCCCCCTCCACCATCCGCAAATATCCGCATACAACATCCTTCTTCCCGCACTCTCCGGACTTGCCGGCCAGAAGTTCGTGAGGGATGCGCAGGACGCAGGGAAGAGCGTTTGTGTTTGGACGGTGAATGATGAGAAGTGGATGAGATGGGCACGTAAATTGGGGGTCGATGGTGTCATTACGGATGACGTTGCGCAGTTCAAGCAAATTGAGGGAGAGGATGAAAAGGAGAGTGACGGGGTGTTGATGGGACCGGAAGAGTGGAAGTGGAAGGCATGGGGGAAGGTTAAGTTCTGGGAGTATTTTGCATGGGGTTTCGGGTATTATAGGTTGTGGCAGTTCAGGGATCGTGGGGTGTGAAGGGTACACCAACCTATCACCAGATAAAGAAAGGGCACAATCGTCTTGACCCCCTCCCTGTAACTTTCATATGGCCGGGCTACAGCTGCACAGCTGCACAGCTGCACAGTGACGCGTGACTTGATCCTCGACGACGCGCCGCGCCTGATCAACACTCAACCCGCACAAACCACCAAGGTTCGTTACAAAGATGCGAACCTTCTCAAAGGCCTTCACGGGCCTTGTCCTCCTCCTCGCTTTTATCACCACTGTTTGCGCCTACGCCGAATACGCCTCCAACCCCGGATCAAAATCCGCCACCGCGAAATGTCCTTTCCTCCACAACCAGCCCGCCGCCCAAGATCCCGTCGCTCCATGCCCTCTCAAAGGAAAATGCCCCTTTTATGAGGCCGTCGTCAAGAAGGGCCCTGACGCCCACGCATCCGACATGCAAGTCGACTGGTCTAAGGCTTCGAATTGTCCCCTTGCGAAGGATTGCCCGTTCTTGAGGGATGCGGCTGAGAAGGGTGAGTTGACGCATGAGAGCCAGATTCCTAAGGATCACTTTTTGGGTATGTTGGAGAAGTGTCCAAGGTTGAAGACGAGTCCGCAGGCACGTCATCACGTTGCTGAGATCCTTGGTGTCGAGGGTGAGGTCGAGGCACATGAGCTCGCTCACGGCGGTGAACTCACTGGATGTCCTTACCTCGATAACGTGGAAAACACGGGTGAGCGCGCGACGTGGTCCAACTTCTACAAGGCGGCTGAGAAGTGCCCGTGGATCGGAGAGCATGGGTACCCGGCTGCCGCGTCCGCGATGGCAAACAGCCCGAAGGGGTACGAGGCTGCGATTCAGAAGTGTCCCATTGTGCAGGAGCTCAATGCAAAGAAGATGTCGGAGAAGAAGCCGGAGAGTGGGTTTATTAAGACGCTCTTCGCTTACCTCTTCCCTTCCAGCCCGGCGGTTAATGCGTTACTCGCTACTGCTTACATCTCTGGTCCGCCGAACTTGCTTCTCGCGTTGGTCCCCGCGGGAATTGACCCTGCCTCGCTTTCGACTCTTGTCGCTTTCGCTGTTGGTGGCCTTCTTGGAGACGTCTTCCTTCACTTGTTGCCTCAGACCTTCATGGGTGAGCCGAGTGAGACCGCTGTCCGTTTCGTCATGGTTGATGACAAAAAGAACTTGGTCCTCGGTGTCTGGATCTTCTTCGGATTCGCTATCTTCATCATCCTTGATAAATCCTTGCGCATCATGAACGGCGGTGAGGGTCATGGCCACTCTCATGGTCACGACCACGCTGCACCGGTTGAGAAGAGTGAGGCTTCTACGACCTCTTCTGATGTTACCACCACCCGCGAGTTGCGCAACAGGAAAGTCGATGTCAAAGCCCCCGCCACCTCTGCGGTCAAGGTCGAAGAACCAAAGCAGCAAATCAAATTCTCCGCTTACCTTAACCTCATCGCCGACGCCGCTCACAACTTCACCGATGGTCTCGCGCTCGCTTCCTCGTTTTACATCTCTCCTACGATTGGAGCTACCACTACCGCTGCTGTCTTCTTCCATGAGATCCCGCATGAGGTTGGTGATTTCGCGATTTTGATTCAGAGTGGTTTTACGAAGTCTCAAGCGATGATGTCTCAGTTCATCACTGCCGGTGGCGCCTTTGCGGGTACGCTTACTGGTATTGCTATTCAGCAGTTTTCCTCCAAGTCCGCTCTCGGTGCGTCGGAGGGGTTGTGGGGAACTTCGTTGCGTGCGGGTGATTTGGTATTGCCGTTCACGGCGGGAGGATTCTTGTATATTGCGACGAGTGTTGTGCCGGAGTTGTTGGAGGTTGGACCGAACAAGGGCCTTGAGATTAGGAAGATGATGTCGCAGATGGTTGCGATGTCTGTTGGCATTGCGTTCATGTATTTTATTAGTGACTAGACGTGTGTGGTCTTGGGAATCACGATCGTGTGAAAGTGGATCGGAGGAGCGCGGTGCACGGCATAGCAGGAGTGTTCGAACAGACATTACTTGTACGATAGCTGTAGCACAAAGCAAATGATTTTGAATACAGAATACTCGTCTACCTCATTGTGAGCACGTGGCGCAGGGTTCAATCGCGTATCTCGGGAACACGCAGCCCTCGGCCCTCCCCGCAATATGACCTTCCCGACGGGGTCACAGGACCGTCTGAGCAGGATGGCAGGCATGCTTCAAACCAACCCTCTACTCGTCTTCAACACCTCTGCCCCTTTCAAGCTCTCTCGTTGACGACCTTCAATCATGCCAAACGTAAACGACGGCGTCCAGACCTACGAACTCGGAAACTTCGAGCTCAAATGCGGCGTGACCCTCCCAAATGCCTTCGTCGCCTACAAGACCTTTGGCGATCCCTCGCTTCCTGCAATCATGTACCCAACCTGGTACTCCGGATCAATCGCTGACAATGAGTGGTTGATTGGCGAGGACATGGAGTTGAGCCCGAAGAAGTACTTTGTTATCATTGTTGCGATGTTTGGGAATGGGCAGAGTTCGAGTCCGAGTAATCAGGTGAGTAAGCACCGTTGATTTCAGATGCATATGATCTTGATGCTGACATACTTGCGAACAGGCTGCTCCGATGAATGGGCCAAACTTCCCGTATATCGCCGTTGCGGATAATGTGCGTGCTCAGTATACCCTCGTCACCGAAAAGCTCGGGATCAAGCATCTCCATGCTGTAGTCGGCTGGTCCATGGGTGCTGGGCAGACGTATCAATGGGGTGTTTCCTACCCTGATTTCATGGACTATCTGGTTCCATTCTGCGGATCGGCGAGGACGGCGATCCACAACAAAGTCTTCTTGGAGAGTATCAAAGCAGCCTTGACTGCTGACACCGAAGGCTTTAAGGGTGGGAACTACGGCGATAAGAAGCCCGAGGTCGGACTCAAGGCTTTCGGGAGGGTCTACGCTGGGTGGGGCTTTAGCCAGGCCTGGTACCGCGAGGAAATTTGGAAGACACAGTTTGGGTTCAAGACGCTTGAGGAGTTCCTGGTGGGTTTCTGGGAAGCATGGGCGTTATCGAAGGATGCGAATAACTTGCTCTGTATGCTCGAGACGTGGAAGAACGGAGATATCTCGGCTGGTGAACCCTTCAATGGTATATAAATGCAGAGCCTCTCAAATCTATTGTGGGAATGCTGATGATGTTTGTATACAGGCGACTTCGAGGCTGCTCTTCGCTCAATCAAAGCGAAGACGTTAGTCCTTCCCGGTCATACCGACCTTTACTTCCCTCCCGAAGACAGCCAGTACGAAGCTGAGCACCTTAACGATGGGATCTGTGAATCGATCCCCTCGATCTGGGGACATTGGGCGGGTGGACCTGGTGATTCGAAGGAAGATGTTCGTTGGTTGGACGAGAGGTTGTCTAAGTTCTTGAATGGAAAGGGGTGAAGAAATATCTTAGGCAAGTAGGCGAAGCATTCATATTCACAATGTCAGAGATCGTTCACGAGCTCGAGTGTCTTGTATAAGTCCTGGCCACCTAGAAATGGCCGTGAGAAAAAGCCTATTCCAGCGACCAACGAAGTTCGCCCATAAAGATATAAAACAAGATTATCAAACGTGAGAAATCTCAAATATCAGGGCCCTCAATATAACCCCATTTCCTTCGCCTTCATCTCCGATCCCGCCTTCTTCCTGCCCAGCTCCCCAGCAATAACCCCCCACCTCTCCTTATCATACTTTGCATTGGCCCTGCTCAACGCCTCTTCATCCTTCTCCGTCCATTCCTCGCTCATAGCCACAACGTTGGCCCACCTCATGCAAATTGTGGAGGGCTTAAGTCCGCAGTGCTTGCCGATGGAGGTCCAGGTCATGTTTTCGGCACGCATGAGGCGGATATGGGCGATATCGGAGGGGGAGAAAGTGTCAGGGGCTTGGGAAGCACCGGCAGGCTCGAGCTTGGAGGCTTTCGTGAGTGAAGAAGTAGTATCATATTCGTCATCTAGATTACCTGCCTATGATCCACGGATGAACTGTTTATTCCGAGTCACTCATATTCTGGCAGTGTAGACGAACTTGGTAGAATAGGGGCGCTGGTGGTTATTAACGTGCGGCTTTCATTGCGTGAGCAATCCATCTGTTAACATACGTGCGGGCCGAGTAGAGGATCACGCGGGGTGAATAGATGGCCATGATTCAAGGAAATATGTTCCATTGGAAAAGCAAAATCCTCGAGACCTCCTGAGCAAGAGATGTGACCGTTCCTGTAGCGCATGAACGTACTGCAGCAAATCCAGGAAAAGCGTGGGAACCATTGTCCATTATCTAACGGGTATGCAAGAAAAACCAAAGTAAGCAAAAAACCGCCAAAAATCACCAAAGTAATTAACTCCAAGAACGTTCCAAAAGCAATCCCGCGTCTCATCGTCCTTCTGTTCTCCTCTCATCAGCCGACACGAGCTCGCTAACACTCACAAGCTCGTTACGCTCCCCCTACTTCCTCACTTCCGCCCCCCACCACTTACTCCCCACCACCTCCCCCAACCCCCACCTCCTCCCCTCCTCCCTCTCCAACATCCCCCCCAACAACTCCAAACACTCCCTCGACACTCTCTTCCTCGGAATCCTCCATGTCCTATCCAACGCCGAATAAGGATCGGGGAATGGTACTTCGCCCACGAGACAAGTGTAGAGTAAACATCCGAGTGCCCATATTTCGGTTTTCCGCGGGTCGTAGGGGCGTTTTTGGAGGATCTCGGGCGCGGCAAAATTCATTGTGCCATAAAACTTTGTATACCTCGCCCCTCCTTCTCCTTCTTTGGTGGTGGGGGGTAAAATAATAGCGGACCCAAAATCGATGAGTTTAACGTTCAACGCATCATCGCACACAATATTCTCATCCTTGATGTCCCGGTGAACGATGTTGAGGTTGTCGAGGTATGCGACGGTATCGATGACTTGACGCATGATGTGACGGGCTTGGGATTCGGTTAGGCCGCCGGGGGATTGTTCGATTGTTTCGAAGAGGTCGTGTGAAGTCCTACGCACCATCTGTGGGCGAGCGGGAGGGGCGAGGGTTGATTTGTCCTCGGTGGCGGATGTGGTCTTTTTTGAGGAGGAGAATGGGTTCCTGAGAGGCCAGGATGGTGCGGTCCAGCTGCTATTCCCACTCTTCCCCTTCTCGGACGCAGCTTCTTGTGGATGCGGCACCCACAAACTCCCAACCAACTCCATAACCAGATAAAACCACCTCTCATCCTCAAAAAAGTCCAAAGCCCTAACAACCCCCCCATGCTCGACCCTACTCAAAATATGTATCTCCATCGGAACCATTCCCAAATCCCTATCGTTGATCCATGCGTGTTTGGGGATTTTCGCGCGATTGATGAATTTTACGGCGACGGGGGTGGAGGTACGGTGTTGGGTGCAGGACATGACGAAGCCGAAGCCGCCGCGGCCGAGGAGATGGGTTGGGGTGTAGGAGGCGAGGAAGGCGGGGGAGAAAGTTGAGGGGTCTTCCGGATTGGTTGAGCTTGAGTTTTGTTGTTGTTGTTGTTGCTCGAGCGTGGGTGTCGCAGGCGGTGAAATCGGCAACTGCGCTCCGGATCCTTGAGTCCTAAACCCAATCTCCTTCTTCTCCGTACTCGGCGTTGGCGGCGGCGTGAACTCCAACCGCGGGGCTTTGAGGATATTGGTGTTCGTCGGGGTGGTCCGGACATCGAGTTGGCCGAGACGGGGGAGGGGGGAGACGGGTGAGGGTGGTAACTCGCTCTTGGAGGTTGAGAGAACGGGGCGGAGGGGGGTGATCGGGGCGACGAGGGAGGCAGCGGGACCGGCCTGCTGCTGCTGGTAGACGTTGTTGTGGTACATTTTGTGGTTCTGGTTCAACTGGTGATGGTGTTCCTTTTGTTGTGTATCGAAATAGAAAAAAGAAAAAGAGATGGAAAGACTGTCTGGGACGGGATGTATGCCGTCGGTAAATAGAGAAAGAGTGTTGTGTTGTACGGCCGCTTCGTAAAAAGAGTGAACGATGCTGACCTCGGTATGCCTTACAAAGGATACCCTTCAAAGAGTGACTGACTGGAGTGAATGCGTGGTTTGGTCAAGAAACCTTCGAAGGCAGCGAAGACACGAGCATATATAATGCAACAGAACAATCCCATGGCTAATCTCGGCTGCAGCATTCCTGGCCATTCCTCTCCTCGTGCATTCATTAACATGAAGCCTCTGATGAAATAGGGGGTTCCTTCGTGGGGCATTCCCTTCACATTCCTCGCTGAGTGTTTTGGTGTTTTGGTTCGAAGGTGCACTATATGCGAGGGATATGACGCTGATGCATACTTTATGCGCGGGAAGAGAGAGATCGCTCGGGGAGACGCGTTTGTGCATCGCGATCGTACGCGTGGGGCATGAGAACGCGAGGGGGAGGGGGGGAGGTCGCCGCTCCCACGCTCTTCGAAGGAACAGGCCAATTCTCCTCTTATTCCAAGAAATCTACCTACACAATATCAAACTCCTCCTCCCCATCCTTCCCCCCAACACCCCCACCGCCAAACCCCTTCTGCCCCTCCCTAACATTCCACCTCAACGTCCTCCCCACACTCTCCACAAACTCCTCCTCCCCCCCACCCACACTCACCGTCGGAAACGGCCACCTACTCGCTTCAACCAATACCGAGTCACCCGGCTGGAGTTCCGTCCGCCCACGACCATCGAATGCGCACCAGGCGGATGAACGCGCGTGGGGGGGGAGGTGGATTCGGAGGGACATCGTGTCTGGTAATAACATCGGCCGAAAGCTCAACGTGTGAGGACAAATAGGCGTCAGGAGGATTGCGGATATGTCCGGATGGACTAAGCTTCCTCCCGCACTCAACGAGTACGCGGTCGATCCCGTGGGGGTGGAGAGGATTAGGCCGTCCGCTTGGACGATTGTGAGGAGTTTAGCGGTGTTGCCGGAGTAGATGTGGAGGTTTGAGAGGTAGGGCGAGGGACCTCTGTCGATTGTGATTTCGTTTAGGACTTCGTGTTGGTGGCTTGACTCCTCAGGTGTCGAGTCCCCGTTGGGACCGGAGCGGTAGATCGTGCCTATTTGCCCATTTCGTTGTCAGAAGGTGTTGTGTGAGAGGGGAAGGGAGGGTGGTACAGGTGAAGCGCATGCGGAGGTTGACTTGGATCCCGTTCTTGAAGATATCATCGAGGATAGACTCGTATTTCTCGAACCCAAACGGCGTCAGGAACCCCAAACTCCCGAGGGAGAAGGAGAGAACCGGTGGTACGATTCGCTGAAATAACCACGAACTGTAAAGCACCGTTCCATCTCCACCAAGCTATATCTCTGTTCAGCACCTCCACTCTCATGTGCATACTCAACCATGGCCCGGAAGGACGAACTCACCGTCAATACGAGATCGAACATCTCGGGTTTATCCCAACACATCCCCCCCTCCCAAAACCTCACCTCACCCCGTCCCCCTCTCTGCCCAACCCTCCTTCTAACCCCCTCCACCGCAAACCGTGCACTATGCTCCAACTGTTGATCAACCCAAACCCTCACACCCCTCCCCTCCTTCATCCCCGACCCCGAGCTCGGGGGTGACCGTTGCATCATCAACCATTCACAAACCTCCCTCGTCATCCCCACCAAAGCATTATCCCTCGGCTTTGTAATTACCATCACGTTCGTCATCGGTGTTTTGATCCGAGTGTGGGAGAGGGAGGAGGAGATGGTCCGGACAGATGTCGCTGTCTCGACTAAATGCGCCGAGGAGGAGAATGAGCGGTCCCCGGATTTGAAGGCCGTTAGGAGGGGTGAGACGATTGTCTCTAAACATGGCAACAGGGGGCTGAATAATGGATGCGTAAAACATGGGGACTTCAAGGCTGACCTATGTGCAGCGTTTAGTATGTTAACGGAGAAAGGAGGGGAGGAGGAGGGTGGGGACGGACAGGATGATGTCTTCGGGGTGTGCGGTTTTGGGTAGTCCAGCGGATAGTTGGCATTTTGCGAGGGTTTGGGCGGGGAAGGTGTTGATTGAGCGGGGGCGGTAGAGGCGGCCTGTACCGGTGCCGGTGCTGGTGCCGGGAGTGCGAGATTGCAATTGCAGTGGAGAGGAGTGTTCCGCAGGATCTTTGTCGGGGGTTTTGATTGACGGGGGTTTGATGGACATTTTGGGTATAATTGAGGGAGAGATGGGAGGTTGGCTGGTGGTGATGGACTTTTTGTTGGGGTCGGTCGAGGAGTATGAATACCGAAACATCTGTGCGTGCTCAACGCACGCAGAATGACGTTTCAGACATTTGACTGACATCTGACAACGGCAACCACATGCTCGACGACAAATGGACAGATTTTTAGCTAAAATATCTCATTTAGTCCTCACGCTGGAAGTACTTGTAATGCACAGGCCCTCTAGGCAATGCTCGGTGAGAGATTTCGACAGGCATTTTCCCACGCCTTTGATTTTTGGCTGTCTGATACTTCCAGGTTATAGGCTTTGAGTTTTCTAATGAATGTCTTGGAACCATGGTCATCCAATCACTTCGTGCGATCCCCTAATCGTTCTTGGAGTTAATTACTTTTGAAGATTTTTGGTAGTTTTTTTTTGCTTAGGCTGGGTTTTTCTTGCAGGCCTGTTTCATAATGGACCAGGTTCATCTCAAAGAGTGGTTACGGTAGTAACTGTAGATGAAAAACTCGCCTGACGGACGTTGGCATTCCTACTTGCAAATGCCACCATGTACGGTGGCATCTCCCAGAAGAGCGCCAGTGGGATCGTGCCTCGGCATCCCAAGTCGCGAAGTTCAGGTATGTCTGTCAAGGAAGGGTGACGGTTGCCGTGCCTATCCTTGGTTTTTACAACGCTCCCCCATGCTCTGGGAGGTGTCCAACATCGACGTTCCACGGGTTGAACTTTGAAGTGTTTGTCCAACTCCAGGCGAGAAGGGAAAGGTGTCTGGGATCAATAAAGCAAGAGCCAATGTCGACGGACGCTCTTCGAAAGGGATGACCAGCGGCGTGAGTGGCCGAAGCGAGTTGCAACGGAGTTGCGCTGGCCTTGGTAGTCAAGTGGATGGGCGGCAAAGATGACGCTTCTTAACCAAACCGACTCGCATCAACAACCCCCTCCCCCCTCAAGGCCCCCCGCTCAATTGCCTTCTCCAACCCTTTCGTTTCGACGCCGTATCTCGACCATTCAACATGCGGTGCTTTTGCCACTTTCTGTGGTTCGACCCTTTCCTTTCTTACATTTGCACTTTTTACGCTCGCCGACGGTAGAGAAGAAATGAAACCCTCAGGATCTGTGATCGCCTCCAGCCGCTGCTCCAGAAGGGGACGTATATCCCCTTCCGCGCGGGCTCGTTGTGCTTCTAAGAGGGAGAGGGCGTGGGTGAGGGCCATGTAATCGGGATTGGTAAGGAGGTGGGCTGGGACAACGGTAGAGGGGTCTGAGGTTGTCATGAGACTGTACTGACGTAGGAGGGCTTGGATATGGCCGGAGATTGCGATGTCGCTGGATTGATTGGGTTGAAAGTTTGTTTGCACTGTATGCTCAGGAATGAAGTCGGATGTAACGTAGACAAGAAACGTGCCGGAGCGGGTTCCGAGATCCCGAAATAGGCAAAGCACGTCACCGCGGCCATGGGTGCAATCCGGACGTTGCCCAACGACTATCATCGCGTATAATGTTTAACCTTCAAGACAACAGCGTTCTCGGCTTCTACGATCTCCCATTGTCATTCCCAATATTCTCTCTCGATGACTGATCATAATTTCCCATGCTCGACGTCGTTCGGCCCCCGCAAATGCGCATGCAACGGCTCCCCCGCGCGGCACCTGTACTCCACCAAACTGATCCACATGTCATACAACTCCGATCCCTCTCGGATGACCCCTCTCCGGCGTCTAGACCAATATATAGCACACCTCGCACCTGCTCAACATGCTATACCTTCAGCTTCACCTCCAACAACAACGACGATGCCAGACGGATCAACCCAAACCATAACCCACCCAACCCTAGGCTGTACGTTAAAGGGTATCCAGGTAAACCCCAACGTCATCGAATACCGTGGTATCCCATACGCCCGGATCACCGAGCGTTTTGCCGATCCGGAGCCTGTTAATCGATTGGAGGTCGAGGGAGGGGTGTACGATGCGACCAAGTTTGGCGCGGTGAGTCCGCAGCCACCACATACGGCTGAGAACGAGTTGGCGTTTTTGGGGGCCACGTTGCCCGTGCGTCCGCTTGACCAAGGTACATACTCTTCCTCCTTCGTCGCCCTCAGTTCCCTGTTTACTTACAATTTACCATAGATGAGTTCGGTTGTCTCAACATCAACGTTAGCGTGCCCACTGGTACCTTGTCTACCAAGGGTTTACCAGTCCTCCTCTTCATCCACGGCGGCGCTTACAGATTCTCCGCCGCAACATTACCCCAACACGACGTAACCTCCCTCTGCTCCCTCTCCCACACCCTCAACAAACCCACCATCATCGTCTCCTTCAACTACCGTCTCGGACTCTTTGGGTTTTTGAGTTCGAGGGATGTGGGGGTGAGTGGGAATGCGGCGTTGAAGGATCATATTGCGGCGTTGAGGTGGGTGAGGAGGCATATAGCGGGGTTCGGGGGTGATGTGGGGAATGTCACGGTGTTTGGGGAGTCGGCGGGTGGGGCGGCGGTGGATACGCTGCTTCATTCGAAGGTACCTGAAGTGAAGGGGGCCTTTAGGAGGGCGTGTATGATGTCGGGATCGGTGGCGTTGATGGGTGTTGCCCCGCCTGCTGTTCACGAGCGCCTGGTGTACGACAAACTTTGCGTGGCACTCTCCATCCCTGCCTCCCTTTCCCCGGTAGAGAAGCTCGCGAAGCTCCGTGCGGCACCAGTGGAGACACTCGTCAATCTTGGCCTCGCGCTCCCCGCCATGCCAGTGGTGGACGGTACCTACATTCCGGATCTCGTTACATGGGATAACATGGAAGATACGAAAGTGCCGGCGTGGTGCGAGAGTGTTATGGTAGGAGATTGTAAGGACGATGGGTGGGTTTACGCACTGCTCCGTCCTTCGCTGCTCAAGGATCAAGATATGGCAAGTACTCTGGCGAAGGCGCTCGCGTCGGCGTTCGGGGCGGATGGAAAGGAACTCGCGAAACTCCTCGGTCTACTTGACGACTTCAAGGGAAAGCAGGACGCTCTAAGACGCGGTGCCAACGCAATCGGCGAACTCTCTTTCTGTCGTGCCGCCGCTGCTCTGGCACGCACCTGGTCCCAGAAGAAAGCGTATCTATACCACTTCGACCAACCTTCGACATGGGCTGGCCCCAATGAGGGTATGGCACATCATGCATTAGATATCGTCTACCTCTTCCAATCATATCACTCGCAGTTCACCTCACCCTCACAAGTTGCGCTCTCGAAACAAATGGGGGCAATGTGGATTGCGTTCGCGAACGGCGAGGAGCCGTGGTCTCCTTACAAGGTGGATGATGGAAGGAAGGCGATGTGTATTGGTCCTGGGGAGTGTAGGGTGAAGACGGAGAAGGAGGATGACAGAGAGGGGAGGAGGGGGGAGGCGTGGAGGGTCATGGAAAGGATTGGGGTTGGGAAGGTTTGGGAGCTGTTCCAGGGGGTCATGTATTCCGTAAAGTCGGCCGGAAAGATTTGAGATACGTCAAATAAAATGTGGCTAAGCCTCATCGGCCGTATGTCTCAATCAAGCGCTGCCCCCCCCCCCCCCGAGCTCGCCTGTTGCTTCATCTTACCACATCCAGACAAAACAGCGTTACCTATCGCCCAGATCTCCTCCGGTGATTGGTCGGCAGCGTCGTATACGCGTCGGCTATCTCGGATCCGCGCTAGGAGATAAGCTACGTGCGAGTGCGGGGCACCCACAGCGATAAGGCAAAGCGCATACCGCAAGGCGTGTGCGCACTAATTTGATCGCCGTGGAGATTCGTGATACGCGTTCTCGTTATCGCTCGCTTCGTGATGGTGGCTCGTCGTGATCCTCGGGGCCCGCCCGCCGTAGTGTAACCTTATAAGTACGAGACGATTGCCGCAATGCTCGTACAGTGGTTGACCAAGTGAGCAAGCATGTCCGAGCCATCCAACATGCCCGGCTTCGCGCCTACCAAAACCCGCCGCAACTCCCTCACCAAACTCCCCTCCCCGACGGTCGGGGACATGGTCTCCGACTCCGGCACCGGCCAAATCGAATCCTACTACGACGAGGCATCCATCCGTGCCCTCACCCGCAAAATCGATCGTCGCATCTTGCCATTGATGTGCGCCATCTACTTTCTGCAGTATTTGGACAAGACGTTGTTGAATTACGCTTCGGTGATGGGGTTGAATACGGATACGAAGTTGGTTGGGAATGAGTATGCGTTGCTCGGGACCGGTTTTTATATTGGATATTTGGTGTGGGAGCCGCCGACCAACTACTTGATGCAACGGCTTCCGTTGGCAAAGTATTTGAGTGGCAATATCGTTGTCTGGGGAGCTATGGTCGCTCTCCATGCGTGCGCGAAGAACTTTGCGGGGTTGATGACCTTGCGAGTCCTTCTCGGAGTGTTCGAATCGTGCGTTGCCCCCTCGTTGGTCTTGATCACCGGACAATGGTATACCCGCGCCGAACAATCTCGTCGTCTCGGAATTTGGTATCTCCAGATCGGTATCGCACAAATGCTCGGATCCCTCATGTCCTGGGGTCTTCAGCATCTCCACGGCGCGGCGTTGAAGAACTATCAAATCCTCTTCTTGCTGTTCGGGCTCCTCACCATCGTACTTGGAATCACTGTCTACATCTTCCTTCCCTCTTCCCCCGCTGACGCTAAATGGTTGACGACTGAGGAGAGAGAGATGCTCCTCTTCCACGTCCAAGGGGACACGAAAGGTAAATCCGTCTCGGACCGTCAATGGCGGTGGTCTCAAGTCTCCACCACCCTCCGCGAACCAACGACTTGGCTGGTGATCCTCATCACGGCCTTAACCATGATCGACAACGGCGCCGTCTCAAACTTCTCCTCCATCATCATCAAATCCTTCGGCTTCTCCGGAATCCAAACAACCCTCCTCAACTTCCCGAACGGCGTCGTCACCATCTTCGCAACCTTCTTCTCCACCTTCCTCGCCGCCTCTTTCCCGCGCTTGCGTCTCACTATCCTCACAGCCCTGTTGATCCCCTCCATCATCGGCGGGATTATGCTCGTGACCCTCCCCACAACCGCAAAAGGCGCCCTCCTCGTCGGCGTTTACCTCCTCAACTCAGCCCCCGCCGGTCTTCCACTAATCTACGGCCTCATGGCCGCAAACTTCACCGGCTATACCCGTAAAGCCACCATCAACGCTCTCGTCCTCATGGGATTCTGTCTCGGAAACATCATTGGCCCGCAGAGTTTCGTGCCGGCTCAGGCGCCGGCGTATAGAGGTGCGAAGATTGGTATTGTTGTTACCTTGGCTGCTGCAGGAGGGTTGTGTATGGTGTTGAGGTGGATGTGGAAGAAGGAGAATGAGAGGAGGGAGGAGGGGAGTGGGACTGGGGTTGTGGTTGAGTTGAGTGGGAAGGCGGGGAGTGTTGAGAGGGAGGAGGATGAGATTACGGATTTGGATAACAAGGCGTTCCGCTACGTCTATTAGATGTCAAAAACGAGGGTGTGGGTTTTGGAGGAGCGGCGTTGCTACTGCTTAATTTATTGCTTGTGATATGTGAGGATGTTTGTTAGCAAAGTATACCTTTTGGATGGATTTGTCAGTGCACGGCCGCTCCAGAGATTACTCCGATGATTAACAGGCGAGCCAACTCCGTCCATAACTGCTGCTGGCGAAGAGGGAGGTTAATCGACATTAGCAATTACCGATACCCACGCCTCGAGTGGAGGCCGTATACATGGCCAAACGAGGTGAGCGAACCTTGAAAATCGAGAAGACCCTTCAAATAAAAGACATAGCTTGACAATGGCTTCCGGCAAAATGGATTCCACACGCGAAAGTGACGTTTGCGAGACCCCTTAATGTCTCGGCCGGCGACCCCGCATGAAGCTCCCCGAAATCCCGATACTTACCACCAACACCAACACCGACTCGAACTGATCCCTCCCCCTACCAGCAACAACAGACAAGATGCCGAGTCCGATCGAGGAGAATCTGGAGCTGAAGGAGATCGACACGAATCTCTATTCGAACACGAAACAGCTATGGACACCAATGGGCGCAAGTACGTGCTTGCAGACAGTTTCGGGCAGTCTCGGACTGTTGCTGATGAGTACATACAGGAGGCATCTTTGGAGGAGCAGTGATTGCGTGCGTAACGACTGGGCCAAACCTGCTTTCAGGCGAAAAGCTGACATATAGTTACACAGTCAAGCCCTCTCCGCTGCGCAAAAGACCGTGAGTCCGGAATATGTCGTTCACTCCCTCCACTCCTACTTCCTCCTCCCGGTACCCTCTTCCCTGACTCCATCTCCTATCTACCGTATGACAGCTAACAGAGTTGGTGTATCTGCAGGGCGACAACTCCCACCCAATCATCTACCACGTCGAACGCGTCCGTGACGGCCGCTCCTACGCGACCCGCACCGTCCAAGCCCAACAACGCGGCCGCGCAATCTTCACAATAACTTGCTCCTTCCAACGTCCCGAACCCTCCACCATGTCCCACAACACACCCATCCCACCTGATCTCCCCGATCCAGAAACATTGATGAATGATTCGGATTTATTGCAGGCGATGGTTGATGCGGATAAGTTGAGTGAGAGGGAGAGGAAGGGATTGATTAAACGGATGGAGCCCGGTCCGATTGAGAGTCGGAGGGTGCCGTTTCGGAGGTGGAATAAGGATTTGGAGCCGTATCAGAAGCGGCAGAGGTTTTGGGTGAAAGCCCGCGGATCAATAGAAGCACAAACGTCGCACGCGATGGCGTTGGCATACTTCTCCGACTCGTGGTTTGTGGGAACCTCGGTAAAGGTAAACGAACCCATCGAGGGGAAGGTGGTGATGATGGCGAGTCTCGACCATTCCGTGTATTTCCACATCCGTGATTGGAGAGCGGACGAATGGTTGTTGTATGAGATGGAGAGTTCGTGGAGTGGTGGGGGACGGGGCTTCGCGAGTGGGAAGATCTGGAGACGGGATGGGGTGCTGGTTGCGAGTTGTTTCCAGGAGGGGTTGGTAAGGGTGGATAATTTGAAGGGCAACAAGAGAGATGCGAAGATCTAGACATTAAACCACCGAGGAGACCGCTTCTAGGGGAACACGCTCTGGTATAACTTTAACTATCACGTCGAAACTATTCAATTACTTCAACCTCGGTGCCCCACCATCAGGCACAAACACAGGCGTAATTCCAAAAAGAACAATGACTTCATTTGACAGGAAAACAGCTGCCGGGATAAGTCAAGGGAGAAATGAGACGAGAGTCTTTTTGGCAATGGCGTCTAGATTAATCCCTATACTCAATCTCCGAACACATCAAAACATCTGTACTGGTGCCCTCCCACCCTCTATTGCCCCCCGTCGTCAATAAAAATCTACACGTAGGATCCAGCATAATCCCACTAACAACCCCTCCATGATGTCCCGGCACGATCCAAAACGGTGGAGCGCCACCTCTATCCTTCTCCTTCACCTCCTCCGCCTTCAGATCGTACAGCCTGATATTGTCGTTGGATGCGCAGACGAGATGGCGGGCGTTCGGCATGGCATAGACCGCTGATACCGCGCCTGAGTTGGCTGGGAGTCGGATGGTGCGGATGGGTTGCGAGGGGGACGAGTGCAGAGAGTATTCTTCCACGGATTGATTACGTCGACCGACGAAGATGGAGTTTCCGTCGATAGACCACGTTGCTGTCATACACCATGGCGGCACACCACGTGCTAGTCCGAGTTTTGTGATGGGGGTAGGTGAACGCCGGTCGTGGATCGTAACGTTTCCGTCGTAGGAGGAGGCGAGGAAGGTTGATTGGGATACTAGGGTTGGTGAGTCAGGGGGTGGGTTGGTTTCGGATGAGTCGGGTTCGCCTTTGGGGGAGGCGTCGAAGTCTTCGAGTTGGGCTTCGAGTTCTTTTTCGAGGGCGTCGACGTCTTCTGCTTCGCCTTCTGCGTCGTCGTCTACGTCGTCGTCTACGTCGTCGAACAGCGAGTCTGGTGACCCAGGTCCAACCGACTTCTTGCCCGAGTCCCTACGCGTTAATGGTGTTTTCGTGGGTGGCGAGTTGCCCACAGGAATGGGTACGCCGCCCTCAGGCCTGAATGCGATTGTCGAGACTTGTCCCGTACACCCGTCAAAAGTCCGTAGAACATTGCCGGTATTCAGGTCCCAGTCGTAGATATTCTTGTCCCATCCACCTGACAAAACCGACGTCTCGTCTTGACCTAGCCGAAGGACGGAGACGGGCGTGGTGTGTCGTTGTAGCAAGTGGATTGTCCGACCTTCCTCGTGACGCACGGTTTGGAGGTTGATGTGGCCTGATTGGAGACCAGTCAAGGCCCAGATAGCTTGTGAATGAACCGCGAGTGAGTAAACCGGACTCAAAGGCTGATTTGACGGCGCTGTTGGTACTATAAACACGTCAGGATCCTCACCTTATCGCGAAGAACGTTCGACTTACCACCAGACATATCATTCTCCCAATACGACACTAAAATCCCCGCCCTCGTAACCGTATCAACAAACGGATGCCTCTGCGCAACAGTCAACGGTAGCTTCCCGTTCATACTGCCGAAAAAGTCAAACTTCCTCACGTATCCGTCCGAGCCACCCGTGAATAGCCAGCGCATACAGGGTGTTGCTGCCATGACGTTTACGGATGTCGCGTGTGGGGCGGCCATGTAGGGTGTTATTTCGTAAGTGGTACAGGTTGTTGCGCGGGGGTCTGGGCCTTGGATGCGGTGGGAGGTTTGCGGGCGGGGAGAAGGGGCTGTGGTTTCTTCGTTGTCGTTGTCGTTGTCGTTGTCGTTGTCGTTGTCCGCGTCGTTGTCCGCGTCGTTGTCCGCGTCGTTGTCCGCGTCGTTGTCGTTGTCGTTTTCGTCGTCATCAGGCTCGCCATCCGCGTCTTCGTCGTCGTCTTCTGGCTCTCCCTCCGCATCGGCTTCTTCATCCATGTCTTCCTCGCCTTCTGCGTCTTCCATTTCTGCATCTCCATCTATATCGACAGGTGATCGTGGATCTGTATGATGGTCAGCTTAATCAACGAACTTCTCCAGGCCATGCATACCTTGCGACTCTTGGTACCGCGTCGTGGAAGGCGACTGATACTCTTCATCTCTATCGTCGTCACTGTCCATCTATATTGTTACGCTTTTTCGCGTCCTTCTTGGTGCACAGACTGTCGGCTCAAGAGCCCCGTACGAGTGGCTGGTGCGTTTACTAGTAACGCAACCTTAAATGGTTGTGCACACATGTCCACTAGCAACCGCAAGCCTGTCAAGGGAATGGGACCAAAGGGCTACAGAACGTTCGAACAAACCCGCCAATCCAATATGTCTACCAAAAATAGCAGGTCGGACGAGGTGAGCAGCAATCGAGGAATGGATCAAGCAGAGCTGACGGGGCTTTCAGCGTCTGACGTCATGTTCAGTATCGACGACAATGTCGACTCTAAGGGAATCACCTCAATCGTCACATCCTACTACTCGTCCGAATAGTGGAAATGGGGAGCACATCATCGATATGGAGAATCAGACCGTTGTAGATGAGGTCGGCGGGCGGATGTCTCCAAACCGGCTTCGAACCGCCGCACGGAAGGCAGGTTTTCTGGAATCTTGTTTTATTCAACATGCTGACCACTTACAGATTATCAACCTTCGCCGAATGTCGTCCGGCTACCGCAACGCAGGCGCAGAACCCGGTCTCGACGTCCGCACAATGACCGTCCCCCTCGAAGCGAAATGTACGGTAACGGTCACGGATTTCTCCAAAACCACATGTCGCCAAACCGAAGAAATGGACAACTCCCGCTTTATCGATTTTCTCGACCAAGATTCCCCACGCGAAGGTAAAGTGCGTTGGATCAACGTCAATGGTCACAGTTGGGACGTTATCAGGGATTTGGCGATGAAGTATGATTTACATCGATTGGCGGTGGAGGATTTATTGCATATTCCGCAACGAACGAAGGTTGATCAATACTCAACTCACACGTTCATTTGTCTTAACCTTCACACGCTAATCTACAACACCGGCCACGATACGCCCGAGAAAATCGACGAGAAACCACCCTCGGATTCGCCTCGGTCATATGCTTCTAACCTCTGGAAAGCCTGGAGAAAAGAACGTATCATGAACGAACAAGACCTGGATGAGGCAGCTGCTGCGGCGGCAGGGATGGCACCTGAGGAATTGCCGAGACGGACGTTGCAGAGGATGCATCATCATAACGTCAAGTCTGTCTTTCTGGACTCGCATCAGAGTTTGAAATCGAGGGGAATGGCAGTCGCAGTGGAACAAGTGAGTATCTTCCTCATGGACGACAACACCGTTATCTCAGTCTTCGAACACTCCGCCCCCATCGTCGCCGAACCAATCGTCAAACGCCTCCTAACCCGCAACACACTCCTCCGCTCTTCACAAGATGCGTCATTATTGGTACAGAGTATCTTAGACGGAATTGTGGATTTGGCGTTTCCAATTATCTCGACATATCAAGAACATCTATCAGAGTTGGAGATTGATGTGTTGACGACGCCGGAGATGGCGCATACCCGACAACTCCACATTCTCTCCGGCGAACTGAATTTGTTGAAGAGAACGTTATCGCCCATCACGTCAATCGTCAACTCCCTACGCGACCACTCCAAAACCGTCAAGATCAGTGAAGATGGAAGACCAGGAAGTCCACATGGCGGGGAAATCAGCGATCTGGCAAGGATCTACTTGGCGGATGTGGCAGATCATGTTCAGGTAGGAATAACAAGACTGTTAACTTCCTGATTTCGGAAGCTGACCCTCAACAACCCACAGACGCTCGTGGAGAATATCGAGATGATGAAATCACAGACAGACAGTTCGACGGATTTGATTTTCAATACAATGGCGACACTGCAGAACGAGAGTATGAAACAATTGACATTGGTCACCTTGGGTAAGTGGGTATGTAAACGGTTGTCCGAACGCTTTGCTAATGAACGCTCTTACAGTCTTCCTTCCCCTTACTTTCTTGACAGGCTACTTCGGGATGAACTTCACCCAATTCGGGGCCCTCGATCACGATCTTCGCTATTTCTGGCAAATTGCGGGACCGACGACGGGGGCGGTGGTGTTGATGGTTAGTTATGGATGGTTGAAGAGGCATTTGGTCAAGACTGTGAGGAGGGTCGAGAAGAAAATTACGAGAACGCTGGAGGAGGAGGTTATGCAAAAGGAGGGGTTTGGACCGCGTTGGGTCAGTAAGTGATTACCCCGGATATAGTAGACGAGTGTACGAGTACGAGAGGGGTGATGGGTGAGGGATGTAAGAGTATCTTGGGATATCTAGCACAGTATACGTAAAAGCATCATAAGCAAAGCATTTTCTACCCTTTCAAAGGCGCGACTCCTGGCTATTCCTCCTTGCACGTCCCTGATGTCTCCAAACCCAATCAATCTCACTTCCAACAAGCAAGTTCTCTCTAATCTTCTTCACATCCTCGTCCGTCATCCCACAATACTCCTTCACGTACCTCTCCGCACCCCCGAACCGTTCTTGAAGCATCTTCAACGTTACCATCATAGACTCGTATTTTGAACTCATCAGGGATGACAGGGCAGCTTTCTTCGGGTTATTGAGATCCTCGTCGGAGGAGGTGGGGAGGGATGCGATGATTTTATCGTGTTCGTCTTTGAGGCCTTCGGTTGTGAGTTCGTATTCGCGAGCGACGGTTTCGTCGTCCACGCCCGCAAGCTTCAAGATCAGCGCACAGATGACTCCGGTACGGTCTTTTCCAGCTTTGCAATGGATAACCAGCCCCTCGTCGGGACAGTCGCGGAGGTGGAGCAGGACTGTGCGGAAAGCGTGACCACCGTGCTGGAGGATTGTTTTGTAGGCTTTGAGGAAACCTTCGATACCATTATGGTAGTTCGCGAAGCGTTGTGCGAGTTTTTCAGGCGAGTAATCTTCTTCTTTGAAGACAGGATTGTGACACCTCTGAACCCCCTCCAACTCACCCCACCCAGACTTCTTCAGTTCAGGGTCAGATCTGAGATCATACGCGACCTTGATATTTAACTTCCGCATCACATCCGCCCCACGCTCGGTGACCCCACACAAATCCGCAGACCTAAAAATCCACCCCTTCCGGACCCACTGCTCACCCTCATTCTTCCACCCACCGAGATCACGGAAATTCGCGGTTCCTTCGACGTCCATCTTAAACCGACGAGTACCGCCGATCCATTGGCTTCGTTTCCAGAAGCGTTTGCGTTCTGATTCTGAGGAGAGCCAGTTGGCGATGTACTTTGCTACGTCGGGGTTGAAGTTATGGCGGGGTTCGAGGTCGGGAAGGTGAGGGGAGGGTTCGCCGGTCGGTGCGTAATAGTTGTGGTCGGCGCCTTCGACCATCTGGAGGGTGTGTCGTCCCGCCAACAGATTTGCGAAGTATTGCACTTCGTTGGGAGGAACAATATGATCCCGCGTGCCCATCATTGTAAGGACATTCACGTCGGGCGGGAAGTGTTCGATTACGCTCAAGTCGATATTCGAGTTTGCTTCGATTTCTTCCCATGGTGTACGCTTAGCCTTAACTTCACCTGTGTGTTTGACCTTGATTTTGTCGGTTGCGCCGCCTTCTTCGGCCATCGTTTTGCTTCTCATGAGATACCTGTCGCGCAGGCCGGAACCAAAATAACGGCCTGATGCATTAACAAGAAGAGGAATTCGTAAATCAGGCCGGTGGTGGGCGTAGAGAAGAGCAACTTGTCCACCTCGGGAGTGGCCGACGATGGCGTAGATCTGATACTTGCGTTCGCGTCGGAGATGGTCCGTGACAGCATCCAGATCAGCATAGTCATCCTGCAAACATTGTTAATAGATATATGAATCAATGAACGACCAGATGTACCTTGAACAATCTTGGTCGATCCCAGTCTCCATCACTCTCCCCATTGCCACGAAAGTCCAATCGGAAGCTGTTCCCCTCGTACTCCTCCGCAAGGTACTTGAGGAAGAGATAATCTTTATGTCCAAGATGACCTGTAGCTCCATGTCTCAGTACCTTGCTTGATGGGCGCTTGGGGAAATCGTGACATACCATGTAGGATCAAGATGCACTTGTCCGATTGAGGATCATTGACCCGCAACTGGCCAACAATGGCCTCACCCAGCGGGCCAGGAATCGAGATACGCTCTTCTTGAACAGACATCTTGTGGTATCTTCACCGTCCTCGGATGCCTTGGTGTTTTGTAGGTCTTCGGGGTGTTACAACGCTAGAGTTTAAGGTTGAATGAACATGCGGGGTCGAACGTCGTCGGACCGAGACACCCCGCAGCCAGCTGTGCCTTCGCTCGGGATTTGCTCGAAGAGGATTAAATTCATGGACGTGATTGATGCATAACTGAACCACAAACGGATGGTGTTCAAACACTTGGGATTCTTGCTCATCTTGTCTATACCGTCTTACGTTACTCTCAGTTGCAATATAGTTTGTGCATGCAGGTCCCACCACGGTGCTCAAGGTAACCACCAAACCGTAAAATCCAACAACCTCACCATTCAAGCAGTCCAGGGATGGGATACAGGGGTCAAGAGCTACCTATAAGTGTCCGTCAGAGGATGCGAAGTGCTATTCGCGATGGTACCAAGCATGCCGTCATTGCGGAGGATAATGGTGTTCACCGCAATACCGTCGGTAACATGACGAGACTCTTACACGAACAGGGCAACGTCAAACCGCGTCGCAATCAACAGAGGGGACCTGTACCGAAGATTTCTGTCGAATGTCTGGAGGTTTGACGCTTTTTGTGAGTCGTTATTCGCTACTTGCGCTGAAAACAGACCCTTCGAAAAATGTACGATGATGCGCCCGATACGTACCAAGACGAAGCAGCCGAAGCTCTCACGAAGCTCTATGGCTTTAAACTCGACAAATGGGATGTCTGCCGCGCCCTCAAACGACTCAGGTACACCTACCATAAGGTCAGCACGCTGACACTCCATCCATGGATGTCTGGAGAGGCTGACAGCCTAGCTCGACGAGTCCGGTGTCAACGAATCCAATGCTCGGCGGACCCATGGATTTGCTCCCAAGGGCAGAAAAGCCAGGGTATCGAGAGTCCTCAAACTTACACCCGGATGGTCCATCCTCCCAGGTCTTACAGTCGATGGATTCGTGGCCCTGCACATCTACCAAGGTGCTTACAATGCGGACCTATTTTACGACTTCGTCGAGAAAGAGGTCCTCCCAAACACAACACCCTTCCCAGGGCCTCGATCTGTGATTGTAATGGATAATGCGCGCTTTCACCATGATCCCAGAATTGCAGAATCCTCTCGTACCATGGTCGGAAATGCATCTATTTACCGCCGTATTCGCCAGATCTGAACCCCATTGAGGGATGCTTCGGTATAATGAAACAGTATATGCGCAAACATAGCAAGGATTCGACTGAGATCATTACAAATCCCTATTACTTTTACTGGGAAACCGCAAAATCCTCGATTACGCCGGAGATAGCAAGGTCCATGTTCCAGCATGCTGGGATCTCTGCAGAAGTCACACACAGCTTCTTTTAGGTCTTATCTATCGATAGCTTAAGTTTCAGCTCAGAATACAATCTTACCCTTGAGTTCTTGGCCGTTGTTCTTGTACGCTGAATGACCATGAAAAGGCAACCGTGGGATGTGGGGTGCATAACTGCGCCACAGCTGACGCCACACGCTGGAAAAAGGTTTGTGAGAGCTGACATCCTAATGGTGGAAAGAGTGCGCTTTGCGCTTTCAGACAAGCCCTTTTCGACTTCGTTGCGACCATTTTTGCGGGGGTTATAAGCTCATGAAAAGCGTGGGATTCCCGTATGCAGGAGTTTAAGGCCGCATTAGCTCGCATGGTCATGCATACGGAGAACTTCGAGGCCGTTGATTGAAGAGAAAACGAATAACTCTATGAATTTACATCTCCCAGAGCTGAGAGTGGTACCATCTTGATCACCGAGGTCGACTCTATCATCCTACTCGCTGCTGGGCTTCCACTTCCTGCGGTAGTGCAGCAAGCGGTCGTAGTTCCCTCGAGTGATTCCCATGGATTGTGCGCCTTCCCATGACAGATGTTTGAGCATTTTGACGTCATAGTCAGCTTCAGTGAGCCTATTAAAGTGTTCCTCAACACAGAAGGCGTGCGCTTCAGACTTCTCCTTGACGTATTCCAAGAAATCCCTGAGCAACGACCCTTCAGCATCCTCCTCGATTGGTGGACTTGAACGGGGGTCTGCTGGAGACGGCTGACGCTGAACAGTGTGCTGCATCATAGGCGCCATCGGCCACATGGGTGGGAGCAGTTGGGTAAGGGTAAGGGAGCCCGAGGAGATTGGGGGCAGTGAAGGTAAACGGCGAAGGGC